TGGAAAGCCATCCATTATCTTCTGCTTATCCGAGGTCGGGTCGCAGTGGCGGCAGGCTAAGCAAGTTGCCCTAGACGTCCCTCTCAACAGCAACGCTTTCTAGCTCCTCCGGGGGATCCCGAGGTATTACCAGACCAGATGGGATATATAATCCCTCCAGCAAGCTCTGGGTCTACCCCTGAGTCTCCTCCCAGTTGGACGTACCCGGCAGAGCTCCAAAGGGAGGAGACCAGGACCAGGAGGATCCTAATAAGATGCCCAAACCACCTCAACTAGCTCCTTTCGATTTGAAGGAGCAGCAGCTCTATTCCAAACTGCCTCTGGATGTCTGATCTTCTCACTCCATCTCTAAGGCTAAGACCCTCAAGAGGAAACTCATCTCAGCCGCTTGTAACCACATTCTCATTTCTTTCGGTCAGGTGAGGGCTGGGACGAAGATTGACCAGTAAATTAAAAGCTTTGCCTTCAGGGTCAGCTCCCCCTTCACCATGACGGTCCGGTACAACACCCTAATTTTAGGCTCACTCGTGAACAAGACCCTGAGATACTTGAACTCCTTCACTTGAGGCAGAGACTCTCTCCGCACCCAGACAGAGCAAACCATCTCAGACTTTTTGGGGGGTTTAAGAATGACTCAAATAGTTAAATAAATGATCAAAGTATTTATAGCAACTGTTGGAAGTTCAGCAACCCGTTTAGTCAACAACAAACGGATAAATTGTTGGAGGTCGAAGTTTTAAACGATAAATAGAAAAGCAGCAAACCTCGCATGTTAGAAAGTTGAACATTTGGCTTAATATTTACCAAATAATGTTACTGATTTCTTAATTCCAGTAATCATTAAAGCTCTGTAATCTTCCCCCCTTCATAAGCGACCTGAAGAAACCAGAAAGCTGTGACCACACTGCCATGTGGGTGATTTTGGGTTCAGTTCTTCAATGGTTTATGACTTAAAATAGGTCATGCAGTTCATAATTTAATCTTTCACTGACTATCACACCTCCAATGTTTCTTTTTTTTTTTAAATCTATCGGCCTTTTTCCAGCAGCTCTGTCTGCCACCAGAGAGGGGGCAGTCTTGTGATTTCCAGTAAGCTGATAATGGGCACAAACTGAGGATTGTCTTAGCTGCTGTAAGCTCCTGTTGTAGCGTATAGAGATCTCTCAGTCTGCTGCAGTCCTGCTTCTGCCAAAGCAGCTAATGAGCTTAAAAGAAGTGAGTGAGCAGTCAGCCGCCACCACCCAGCCAGAGAGCAGCCAAGGTCCTGCTCAGACAGGACGCAACTGAGTGAGCCTAAAGGTCACTGCAGGAACCCGGTGACCTGAGAATCACAAGATCGACTACTAACTGACCAACCAGCCTGGAAAAAGTTTATTTCACGGAGCTGAGCGTGTGTGAATAAAGAACGAATAACCTTCCACCCTCTCAAACAGCCGTCTGTTGAGTTTAGGATTACCAGAATTTTAAACTTAGTTATGATACTCAGAAAATAAAAAGATTTAGAAACCTGATTCGATACGACTGCATCAAATATAGAAGGCGTAGAGGGCATTCACACCTGCAGAAAATGCCTGATAAACTCTATTTCCAGGAGCAGCTGCATGTGTGAATGCAAACAGCAGAATTTTCTGCAGCAAGTCTGAGTGAGCTGATGTGAGAATTCACCTCAAGCCAATGGAAGGGGAAGTTGACTAGTAGTTTTGTCCGCTACTTCTGCATCCTTTTTTCCACGGCAGTGTGACGGCACGGAGTTGATTGAATTATTGCCATGAAACACGGAAACAGCGCGTCAATTAAGTACGGTAGGCTATCAGCCCCTCAGTGGCTCAAACTTTTGATAGGCAAGACCAAGCCACTACACCCAGCATTTAGTCATTTATTGTTTCCACCTATCACACCCCAGGTAAACTCCTGTCTTATAAAATAGATTTTCTGTGTACTTAGTGCTCATTGAGAAGTAGATCGCACACTTGTTCAAACGCCACAAAAAGATCATTATCACTTGAAGACCTCTGGTTGAACCCTTGTTATTTAAAAAAATACTTCTTGTGGCACTCAAGCAAATGTGCGGATATTTCTTTTTCTTCTCTCTGCTGTTTTTGTATCGCCCGGGACCCACATGATGTGCAATAACAGACTGTATCATTTCAAAACACATGGTATCAAAACAAAAAGCATCAAAAAGTACAGAAGTCTGGAACATTTCCACAACCTTAGTTGATTCAGATGCTGCAAAACTACCCATGTTTACTACAGGAAGGAATTCAAATCTCTTAAGAGTGTGAAACTGTGTCTAGATCTAAACGTAAACAGCACCAAAAACACAAACAGCTTCTGTTCCTCAACTTCATCATGCTCAAGTGAAGTCTAGAAATGAGTGAAGAGCCATGACATGAGGCTGGGCGCTGAAATGATTTCTAAAAAGATTCAACTCCAAAATGATGATAAACTCTGGACCATTCAATTTGATTTGGATCGAGCCGACAGCCTGTTAGCAGAAATAGCAACAACAGTCAGTTAGTTTGCAGTTTTTCAACTTGCACGTTTTTACAAAATGACGTCGACTTCATAGATGTGAGCAGCAGCTCGGCAACAGGTCCCTTGAGCAGATATCCGTTGACCACTAAAGAACGTCTGGGTGACACTAATCTCTAACCTGCTTTGTTTACCATCGTTAATTACCAGGTCTGTTTGTCCTGGAGGGGAGAAGACCTCTGAATTATACGACTACCAGAAGAAGAAAAGAAGTGGTAAACAGTGTGTGTGGGAGGGGGGCTGTAACTCAGAAACAAGCTGAGCTAACTTTAGCAGCAGCTCAGGTTAGAGCCCGCCATCCTGTGTCTGCTGAAGAGACTTTAAGAGATGCCGATATTTATTATTTTAAGTGGTTAGTTTGTGTGCTCCATGTACAGAGGCTGTAGTCCTCGATGCGGGTGACCAGGGTTTGAATCCGACCTGTGGCTCCTTTTCCCACATGTCCCTCCTCTCTCTCTCTCTCTGATTTGCAACTCTAACCACGGTCCAAAGTTTATCATCACCTTGCAGAAAATAGTCAGCCAATCAAGATATTGTGTAATAAGCAGATTAAGACATTCATATCTTATCATTTCCTAGTAATGTGTTGCCTGAACATGTCAGGACAACATTCAGCGGCCCTAAAACCTCATTGACTGCTCCTCCTGGTGCTCGCCCCCAGGGCTGTGTGGGAGGTCACCACCAACCTTTCCCAGGGGAAAGGAGACCAAATGCATTTGAACTGTTCCGACTGCCTCTCATTAACGTGAGAGATCAGGTTAAACCAACACACAGTCAACAAACACTTCTGTTAGCTTTCAGTGATAAGTACTTAAAGCCTGTTGCCGTGTCACAACCTAAAATTATACAAAACACTGTAATTACCGGTGATAGACGAAACAATTGAAGAAGAAACGAGTAGGCTGTGAGAGTTATCTGGGCTGGTATCAGAGTAGCACCTGTATTAATATCTGAATAAATGATCATTAAATGTTAGTACCTGGGTTTTTCAGTTACCTAGTTAAAGAACTATCCAAAACATCTTGGGTTGATTGGTAGCACCGAACTGTTTCCCCCGTAAGTCGGCAAATATTTAGCAAATTAAACATTTATGTCAGGAGGTGTGAGACTGAGCCTGCTCAGGGTATGAAAAAAAGTTAGTTGCAGCTCTGATGATCGTCTAGGACTGAAATTATAGCTTCTGTTTTTGTTCACCTGAGACTATTTTTGCATCTTTCTCAGCCTGTGGACTTCTTTTCTTTTTTTTAGCTTTTTAGCCCAGTGGTATAGGTGTCCGTGTATCTCCTCTGCAATTTTTTTAAAACTGAAGATATAGCCGCTACAGATGCAATGCAAGACGTCCTGTTTACTCCATTCTGCAATAATACTGAGAATAGTTTAGTTTGTTGACGACCGGCATTTCTATTTTAAGCGTAACGAAAATATATCCTGGTAAATTCAGCACCTTTAGCATTTTCACCGTCATCAAGTTGTTTCCCCCCGGTAATCGACGTAATGTTGTTATAATTTGATGTACATATGTTCTGACACAATTTTAAAATCAAAATGATGTCATCTTTTCTTAATCCTGACACTTTGTGAGGTTGACAGGTTGATAAATAACATGATTACATGCCCCCATGCGTACATACAGAGCAGGGACATCCGTTAACAAAGAGTTGTATTTTGTGGTTTGTGTTGAGTATAATGAGGTGCATCGCTGTAGTGTGCAGGATAATAAACCTGGGTTTGAGCTTTCATATTAACAAAGACTTACAGTCATGTCATTTGTGGATATTGTTTTTATAGGCTATTAAACAGAACGATTAAACTATTAAAACTAACATTACCATATCTCTCCAGCCGCCCAAGGCACACAAACACACGCCAGCAAAATCTGCAACCACCCAATGAAGCAGCCTTCGCTTTGGGCTGTTTGAAACCCACAGAAAGTCTGACAGAGACTCAAAAGACGCAAAAAGAAAGAACACAGCAGTAAAAGTCCAAATCAAAAGTTAGTTTATATGACAATAAGGTTAAAACAGCCTAAACGTAGTGTGACTACCAATCCTCTGGTGTCCCCTTTAAGTCCTTTACTTGTGTCATGTCAGGACTCTCATCTGATACCTTATTTCATTACTTTGGCAGGTGTTTGACGTCATATCGTTTCAGTGTCTGTATCGCGATATTTTGGTATCGTGACAACACTAGCTGATCGTAAAGAAGGTATACAACATGCCCGACTGAAGAGTGGACCTCTATGACTCGGGTTATGTGTCAAAAGATGTTCTGAAATTAGTGCTTTACTTGAGAAAACACATTATGTGATAAATACTTGTTTTTTAAAAAAGCGGCATTTGGCGTGACGTTCTCTCAAAACGACGGCTAGCGGCTGGCTAGCTGAGGTAGCTAACGTTAGCTTTACTGTTAATCAGGCACACCCAGCTTCTTTCCCAGAAAACAGGAAAACATCCCGCTTAATTTACCTCCTTTCTGTCCTGTAGACACTCCAACACCGCCAGGTTGTTGTTCCAGGAGTGTTTGGGGCAAAGCCGGGTCAGGTCCTCCCTACACACCGCCTCCTCAGCCAACTTCCAGCCGGCAGAGCGCCGCCGAGGCAGCGAGGCCCCGGCCCCCGGGTTCCTCTCAGCGGCTCCCGGGTTCACCGCAGCTGGCCCCAGACCTCCAGCCGGGTTCGGTAAGTTATCGGATTTCGCAGCGAGTTTAGCGACACCGTTGATGTCTCCTTCAATTGGATGCAAAGACGACAAGATGCACATCAAAAGCAGGAGCAGGGGCAGAGGAACACGTATACAGTCCGCCATCTTCACCGAGCCAGTCAGCCTGCTGCTGCTGGTGCATTCAGGAGCTCTCGGAAATATGGGGACTCGAAGTAAAGTTGCAGGCGGATTTTTTTTCTCCCTCATGAATAATTAATGAACGCATGTAGATTCACGCTCTGAGTCATCAAATCACACAATCACCATGGAAACGTTTTTTTCCCCGGTGGTCCTTATTATTTAATGACTAAAAGTATTCAATTAATCTCTATAGACTTTCACAACCAACACCTTAAAACAGCACATTTTAATTAGGTTTTAATGTACGGAGGACAATCAGGGCCACACAATAAATATAAGATAGCAGGATTTTTTTTTTTTTCAATTTCGTCCTTAGAGGAAACAAAAGAAATGTAGAGAAAAGGGGCGAAATGTTAGAAAAAAAGCCAAAATGTCTTCTTTTTTTTTTTTTAGAAATGTTGGGATTAAGGTTAAACATTTTACTTTATTCCAATGATAAAGTTGCAATTTTCTGGAAAATATCAAAATGTCAATATAAAGGTCGACATGTAAAGAATAAAACCTAAATCAATTTTGTCTTGGCCAGCCCAGATAACTCTCACAGCTTTCTCTTACTTCACCTATCAACCTGTAATTACAGTGTTTCGTATAATTTTAGGTTGTCACGTCGTAACAGTCTTTAAAAAGTTTAAATATCAAGAAAAAAATAATTAAATATTGCGGGGGGGAAAAAGTAAAAATGTCTAGAAGAAAGTCAACATGTTGAGAAACAAAATTCAAATTGTGGAATGAAAATTAAACTATTATAAACCCGTCATATATATTTATGTCATTTTAAATTAGCTCAACATATTTTAGATACTTTTTATTGTCATCATGTCTTGACATACAGCGTAAAGATTACCTTTTTTTGGTGGGGGGAGGTACTGATATCAATATTAGGGATACCGATATATATATATATATATATATGTATATATATATTCTTAGATCTATATTCGATCTGTAGATAGATATACACATTAATTGTTTTGATCCCTTAAATGCAGTTATCAAGCACTTGTGGAAAAGATTTCTAATGAAGACAAGATGGTCACTCAACAGGAAAGTAACTGAGCTTGTACATGCATCACCGCTCCACACTCTAGAGTGATGTTTGTTATAATCCATATAGCGCCCTCTGCTGGTGACAGAGAACTACTAGTGTAATACAATCAAAATCGAGCCCAAACTGAGTCTCTGTGGCGTTTTATTATCTGATGTCTGGTTCCAACACATTCTGTAAATTATACAAATGAAGTGTAAGCAGACCCAGAAGAGAATTTAATCACAGCTCTGGTGTTGTGCTACATTTTCCCCCGTGTCAAGCCCCCAAAAATATGCATACCTCTCCCTGTTCTGAACACTCTCCCGACACCTTGATGGAAACCGATGAGCTCAAAAAAAGGACAGACTGAACAAAAATCTCTCCCCATCAGATCTTAAAAAAACTTGAAGCAGATTATTCCAAAAAGAACGACAACAACGAGGAGTCCACTTGACAAGCGTTTAGGTAAAAATAACATAATTTTTATTAACTTTGAGGTCGTACACAAACAGCTGGTAGCAAATATACATATATATACAACTTCCTTGAGAACGAGAACAAGGAGAGTGAAATATACAGTCAGTACAGAGCGGTTTCTTTTGGCACTTAATGTTTCAGGGTTCAGAGGGAGGAGAGGTTAAAATTATATGAATTAAAACAAAGACACGTTCAGAAGAATAACCAAAGCATAAAACATGGATCTCAAAGCCAACAACCTCCAGTGATAGAAACGGTTACCGTCAAACTCCAGTTAACAGAGCCGGCTTTTATTTCCTTCAGTCTATGAAAAGAGGAGCCGGCCTTCATTTAGTCGTCAAAACGAGACGCGCCTTCTAACAATACGGGTGCAGGGCAATGACGGGGAAGACTACTCACACCAGAAAGAATATTTAAATCTTCTTTGTATCACAGCCCCTTCATTATAACCTGGGGGGGGGGGGAGAAAAATCCTTTTTGATGTTTTTGATCTGAAAATTAAAATGCATCCTTCAATGCACCGTGACCTCTAACCGAGAGCTGAATTTATTTATCAAAAAAGCGACTGCACCTTAAATCATGATGAGCTTTTATTTGAGGGTTTTAAAGTATTTTACTTTGCAAAGCACCTAAGGCCCCTTGTGTCCACCTAGCCATTTTTTCTGGGGAAGATAAGCGCTGGCTGTGCGCTCAGGAGCTCTTACATGAAGCGTTTGTGCAGAGAAAAAAAGTGCTGCACGTGTGTCCTGTCTCCATGACAACAGTCTGTCGACAACAGCCGCTGTATGACCGATACTGCTCCGTTACTTTTTACTGCATGCTTTATATTTTAAGATCGTTTATTTCCCGATCAGACACGGAGCGAGGAGGATGTGAGTTCAAGACACGATCAGTAGGAGACAAAACTTCGGGGATTATCAAATATTTGGAAAAGAGCGCCCAAGACTTCAACAGCGCCTTTCTGAAAAGTTTAAAGTTTATCAACTTGAGCGCTTCGAGTGGCCGCACAAAAAAAGGCAGAGCGGTCGGGAAAAAAAAGACGCTGTGTGCTGCGCTCTGTCTGGTCAGCTGCTTTCTACTCAATGAAACCATTGAAAGAAGACGCTGGCGCTCAGAAAGAAACGCCAGGTGGACACGGGGCCTAACTCAACTGCTTAGTTTGTTTGTGTCATCGTCTGATTTACACCTTTTAAATACCTCGTTCAGATCCATTAAAAACGTTTGTGTAACAGACGATAAATGAGCGAGCTCACTGACGGAGGTAGAGGTCAACAAACATCTCGTGTGCTGCCGTTTTAGTCAATGGAGTCTGTTGGCTTTGAACAGAGACGTGACTGCAGTTTCTGTTTGAAGAAAATCTCTTCAACAAAACGTCTTTCTATGTAGAGAAACCTTTCTGAAATGTTGCGAGGCTTACATTATGACAATCGTATGACTGGAGGGAACCGATGTGCTGAACGCCAGCTCATGTCTCTGTTCACAAAACCACAACTGGGGCACCGGATGGCTTGGTGGTTATGTCCTATGTCCTGTGTACGGAGGCTGTAGTCCTCGTCACAGCGGACGGAAGGTTAGAATCCGACCTCAGCCCTTTGCTGCATGCTGTCCCTCACTCTCTCCTCTTAACACTTCCTGTCTCTCTTCAGACGTCCTATCCGATAAAGGCCTCAAAAATCAGTATAAAAAAACTGAAGTGGTTCTTCAAGCATCACTCCTCTTCATCAGTTTTTGCTTTTTTGCATTTCTGATGCAATAAAAGTTGAGCAGCATTTGAATTCCCTTGGCTCCACACCGAGCCTCTTTCCTCTCCTTGTGCTCAAGGAGACGACATTTTTGTTTCGAGTCTCTGGTTTGAAAATGAGAGAGAGATGAGTCCTTCTCCTTCACTCCCACTTGTAGAGCTTCAGCATCTTCTCCGTGAGCGAGGCCAGGTAGTGCTCGCCGTTCACCGAGAACGGACTGATGTCCAACACCGGCAGGTCGGCGGGGAGCTTCTGCAGCATGGAGCCGCTTCCTGCGTCCCACACCTGAGGAGGAGGAAGAGGAGGAGGGAGACGACGGGGAGGAGTGGAAGGAGCAGAGGAGAGAGAGGAGAAGGAGGAAGAGGAGGAGACGACATGAGAAGGGAGAGAAAAAGAAGAACAACACATGCAAGATTAGAAAGAGATATGAGATATCTAATGAGATAAAACGAAACGTGAATAAAATATATTTACATAAAAATAAAAAGGCTGCTTTGGGCGCCTGAATTCTTTTTTAAAAACCTGCAATGAGTGTGACCTGCAGGGGGCGATGAACCCAGGAGGAGGAGGGGCCCGGTTTGAAAATGTTGTGTTTACAAACTGCAGTGAACATTTCTGCTGACTCTACCTTTAAATAACAGCAAACACACAAGCAGGACTTACGATGGTGGAGTTGGAGGCTTCGTCCCCAGCACAGACCAGGGTCCCACTTCCGTCTGGACTCTTGAAAATGGCGTTCTTGGTGAGCAGTTTGCAGGACGGTCCGGCGCTGAACGTCTGCACCGGAGAGCAGGAGCAGCTGGGAAGCTGACTGGAGTCCTGCTGAGGCGTCCGGTTCAGAGCCATCAGGACGCAGCGCAGAGACGGATTGGAGCGTCCTGCAGGAGAGAACACACGCGCCACAGATCACACTGAGGATGTCTGGCATTCAAAACTTCCTTTCCCATACAACAGGTTTTAAAATAAAACAGTCTCATTCCTCCCATAAACGCACGGACTGAGGTGAGACATCTCATGCAAAAACTGAAATCCCTTCCGCCCTTCCACTGCACAGGTACAGCGTCATCCTGTGGGAAACACTGACATGTATTTGGATATCCAGTTTTCGTCGGACTAACAATATAAATCCACTCCTGTTTACATCTTAAATGTACTGACTGACGTTTGAGAGGAAACCTGAGGAACACGCTGCATGGTGTTCACAGAGTGAGTGAGCACTGATCTTCACTCCACACAGATGATGACTCAGCAGTTGGCGTGCTACACACACGTCTCAGCGTGATGGTTGGTGTGAGTATTTCTATCACTGAGGCTTTTGTTGAAGTCTGCGCAGGAAAACAATCACCACCACGTTACCACCATGTTGTCATGCGGAGCAGAGTCGGTTGTCTCACCTGGCCTGTAGGTGACCAGACAGTGTCTGCTCTCCGTCTCCACCTGGATGTCGATGCAGCCAGAGTTCTCCAGCGGCAGGATGTGCGGCCTGTACGTGGTCTCATTAACCTGCTCCCAGAAACACGCGCCCTCCAGAGAGCCGGCGATCAGCCCGCCACAGGGGAACGAGCTGGAGGCGGCCCGCGGGACGTAGCTCAGAGACGCAACCGGACACCTGGAAACATCAGGAGTTCAACGGGTTAAAGACTGAAAGCAGAGAAAGGTGGTTTCCTGGTATCTTCACGGCGACCAGGGGTTCTGCTGTTTGTCATTTAGATCCCTAAAAGTTAAAAATGTCAAACGTGTGTGTGTGTGTGTGTGTGTGTGTGTGTTACCTTGAGCGCAGTGGCTGCAGCTCCTGCACGTGTGTGCTGGTGTCTCTGGTGTCGTAGACGAGCACAGAGCCGTTGATCAGACCTGCGTAGACATAGTTACTGTTGTCCAAACACCAGCAGCAGCTCCACACAGGTTTACCCGCGTTGTAGGTCTGAACCACCGTGTTGGTCAGCAGACTGCAGCACACACACACACACACACACACACACACACACACACAGGGTCAGACAACAGATCACATGAAAACATATTTGATCTATTCTGTGTCTCTCTCAGAGTCTGAGTTGTTGTAAACTGATGATTTGTACCTTTCTATTAAACGTGTGTATTGTGTTCCAGGGTACAGGTGTGTGTGTGTGTGAGTGTGAGTGTGTGTTCACCTGGTCAGTTTGATGGTGTTGTCCAGAGCAGCAGACAGCAGCAGACTGTCGTTCTGCCTGTTGAAGGACAGACCTCGGATCTGTTTGCTGTGGATGGGGACGTACTGACTCGCCTTCATGTTCACCACGCTCACCTTCTTCACTCCGTAACCTGGAGGAGGAGACATGGACAGACAGTGAGCAGAGACAGAGAGGGAACTTTTCCCTTCACTCCCAGCTGCTGAAAAACAAAGTGAAGAAAGGCGGGGTCTCACCAGGCATCAGCGTGGCGTGCTGGGAGAGCTGCGAGGCGAGCAGGCAGCTCAGAGGTTCACAGTACGATAACACTCTGGATCCTCCAGACTGAGACACCAGCACCGCCTTGGAGAAGCTGTACTGACCCGTCCTGAGGCCATCCACCAGCTGGGACTGAGTAAGGCGGAGCGAGGACGACGCCGAGGAGGCGAGGGAGCTCCTACCGGCCTTAGCCATCAGAGCCCTCAGCTCCTGCACAGACGGCGAGAGAGGAGGGACAATTTAACCAGGACGTATCTGAATTCTCTGAATATAAAAGCATGTCAAAGAACTGTTAGCAGGAAATAGCTGCAGACTTCCAGTTGACAGGGAATATTTGTGATGATTTAGCTGCTAGCTAGCGTTTATCTGTGATGCTGATCGGGGGTGTGTGAGAGAGAGAGAGAGCGAGAGAGCGAGAGAGATAATGGATGGACGTATAAATAAGATTTAAACCACATTCAAGACTTTAAAGGCCTTCATTTGAAAATATTAAATTTTAGACTTGTAAGACGTTTAAAGGGGAAACTTCTACAGTGTTTTTGAACATATATCTGGGTAACCCGAGTGTCTACCGACCCACAAAATGTGAAAATGTGCTCTCCTTGTGATGTCACAGTGGGATTCTGGGGGGAAAAAAATCCCCTCACCTCCCCTGGTATCTCCACCCACAGCCTAGGACAAAACTTTTGAGCAGGTCCGCCATTTTTATTCTCACTACAGAGGAGTGATGTCTACGGGAAAACTGAGGGGGGGGGGGGCTCATTGCATTTAAAGAGACACACACACCAAAACGGAGCGTTCTGAGAGAGCTGGTTTATACAGACTCACAAACCTCCTCTGGTGCTTGATTCATGTTATATTTTGACCAAAGCACAGCACAGATGTTTCATTTAGACCACAGGGGACTGTTTGAAAAGGTGGAGAAGGGGGAGAATATGTCCTCTTTAAGACCCCTGGGATCCATTTAAAAAAAAAAAGACAGAGCTATGACCCGGACTTTTAAGACCATTAAACAAAACGTTTCCTGAAGTCTGATGAAGTCGTTTCTTGTACCTGCAGCTCTTGTTGGGCTTGTCCGTATTGGTTGGTGACGACTTGAAGTTTCAGTTTGTACTGAGCCGACTCCAGTTCAGCTTTTCTCCTCAGAGACTGCTCCTGCTCCAGGGACCTGCACACACACACAATAAAGGTATTATAAGCACCTATGATCACAATATTACTGGGAGAACAAACATTCAATGCTCGATGTGACCCGCTGTGGCATAAACTCTTATTTAAATGTGGAACTACTTTATTCTGTGTTTCTCATCATCAGGTGTGTTTGTTTGGAGATGAGGAAACATCTGGGAATAATTACCTCCTGAACGATAAACTCCTAAAGGTCACTTTGGGTTCTGTTGCTCCAGGTACAACTGAAAATGTAAACTCCTCGGCCTTACCGGTGAGGCTATACGTACACTGTAAGACTTCAGGCAGATTGAGACATACGACTGATTTTCAGCCGGATCACGCGCTGTCAGTCGTGCAGTGAACACTGAGACATGATGGCGGATCGGGCGATTTTCTGGCATGTTTGATATTTTGTATGTACGACTACACGCACTCGCACAGTGAGAGCAGAGCCAGGAGCCAATTCCCCAACTTAGGGACTTTTTTTCCCAGAATGTAAAGTACCTGTACAAACTGATAGACAGCATCCAAAATCACCATGGCAACAGCAGGCGTGTCTGTTTAATCTGTCTCCCCCGTCCAATCACGCAGGAAACTTCGGCAGGAAATATCAGCCGGCCTATTATTATTTAATCAAGCCCTGAAGAACGCTCTTGATTTGCTTGTTTTGGAGTCTTTGCTGTGTTGCGGAGGAGATCACTCACTTCTTTAAGCTCTCCTGCTCAGAGTTGTCGAGCGCTCTCAGCTTCGGCGTGTACAGCAGGAAGATGTCTGATCGCTTCGCTTTCTTGTTGCACTGAAGACAAACAAGAGAGACAGAGGTAAGATGCAGGAAATGACACCAGTAATCCGGATTAATTCACCTCTATGTGTCTTCACTGACCTGGGGACATTTCCCGGCCGGGCCCTGAGCCTTCAGCCAGCGCTGGATGCAGGTGAAGCCGAAGACGTGTCCACAGCGCAGAGCGGACAGTCTATGATCACCCGCCGTCGTCCACGCCTCAAAGCAGATGGAGCAGGTGTCACCCTCGCCCATCTCCTCGGTTTGGGGCGGCTGGACAGACGCCGACGCCACAGAGACCGGCTACAGATGAACATGATGAGAGAGCGTCATTTAAAAAAGACGAATAACAGAAATCACAGGTTTCAAACAAAGTGAGTGAAAATAAAACTGTTAGCTGTAAAGACTTTAACAACACACACACAAAAAAAATGTGTGACTCTCTTCTGTCTTGATGCTCATTGGTTAAACTGTAAAGTTTTCTCAAATGCAGCGAAGAATATCAGAAAGAGGAGTGAGGAAAAGGTCTGGATGTTACCTGGACGTTCTGATTTGGAGCTTCTGTTCTCTCAGTCACTGTAGCTGGACCCGAGTCTGAACAGACAAAAGAAACACATCAATGTGGAAATGTCAAAATCTGCATTCTCTTCAATGACCAGCAGGGGGAAACTCCAGTAGTCTGTCTGTATAGAAGTCTTTTATTAAATGGTCCTACATCTCATTTTAATGAGTTTCAATCTCTAGTTTCAAGTCGATGCTCAGTTAGTAAATGGTCCCATTTAGAGAAGAGGAGACCAGAAACGAGGGGTTAGTTTAAGGGCGGGTGTTATGATAATGCGTTAGGGGGATTCACTTCAGTGTCGTAACAGCGGGGCTAACTGTGATTGACAAGCTGCAACCATGGTGACCTGAAAAAGATCTCCTTCAGTGTTTTCAAAGACACCCTTATCAGATAAATACATTTTTGATATTTTGGCTTCGATGTTGGTCAAATGTTATGTTAAAAACTGCGACGCAGCCGTCTGCCGCTAGCCCGGGCTTTAGCTCCAGTAAATGAGCCTGCTCCCCCGGCTCTACAACCAGGATGTTAATAAGCACAATGAACAGATAGGATCTCAAAGGAGTAGCTCTGTTTGGCAGTTTTTTCAGACTCACTGTTTGTAGAAGCCTCCTGTGGTTGCGTGTTGTGGAAGGAGGCACTGAGGCGAGGACTAGCAGGTGGCACAGGGTTCACAGGCTCTGCAGCAGAAGGTGCTCCTGCTTCACCCCGCTCAGCCCCCTCTTCCTCGTCAGACTCGCTGACCTCGGTGGTGCTGCCAGACTCCGGCTCCGCCACAGTGGCAGCAGGCACTCGGAGCAGGAAGTCGGGGAAGCCTCTGGAGGGCGCTGCAGTCTGGCTCGGGTAGTGCACCCTGAGGCCCTGCCTGAAGAAGCACACAGCTTTAACATCGCAGGCAGTGAGTTACCTTCCTGATAAAACACAACCAAACAAAGATATGTTTTAAGTACCTGAGCCTCCTCCGTATAGGCACGCCCCGAGCTGCTGAAGATGTGGCTGCAGCTCCGCCCACAGCTCTCTGACTAAACGCCCAGGTGGCTGGAAGCCGGGGCGGAGCACCTGCAGGCGGTCCTCCTTCACCGTCTTCATCGTCATCCTCGTCCACCTCTGTACTGCTGCCAGAGTCTGTGATGACGTAAGGCACGTTGGCTTCCACAGCTGCTGCAACAACTGGCTGCTGACCACCTCCTCCCTGCAGCTCCACGGGGAAGTCTACCTCCATGGCCTCCATCTGTACAGCAGAGAAACACTTTGTTTGATGTCGGCAAGTAGATTTGACGAATTGGTTCGTCTTCTGCAGCCATTTATCTCACACCAGCGTACACACAATATGCTTTTAGAGGATTCAACCCAGCAGACCAATCACAGGGCTTACAGTCTGCGTCATTTCTAGGCATAGTTACATTTTTGAGGGGCTACGAGAACCTAGGTCATGGATTCGACACAGTTGTATAAATCAGGCTACATTTTTGTACATTGTACATTTTTATACCAAAGTCCCACCCCCATCTCAGTTTTGTTCTTGAAAGCCTGACAGTATCTAGTTTGCCTTTAAAAAAATATTTTGGCAAAACTCTTGGGCATCATCATCAGTTGAAACCACAGTTTGACAAAGATAAAAAAACAGCAAATAATGACCCCAAAGCATACATTTTCATATGTTGCATTAGACTAAATGTTTGCACAGGTACATTGGAATTGTTGTGCATTTACTTCAGAGTCAGCTCTACAAAAAATTATAAGAGGTACATCAAAAAAAAGAGACACACACACACACACACACACACACACACACACACACACACACACACACACACACACACACACACACACACACACACACACACACACACACACACACACACACACACACACACACACACGATTTTGTGGTATAAAATGTAGTTTTTGAAGGTTGTTATTATTGTCTTAGCATATTAAAACTTTACCCATGCTGCTATTTAATCACTTGGTTGTTATGGGTGAATCTGCCCAGGGTCACTGCTTGTCAACAGGCAAGGCACGCAAATGTTTGGGGGCCCCAGAGGGCTGAAAAACAAAGCAGCAACCCAAATGTGCAAATTTTGCAGTGGCAGTAGGAAACCTCCCTAAAGGGGGCCCCATCTGACTGCATTCACTCTCATTGCACTTCTTAACGCTGGTGGGAGAGCCCCCCGAATTACCTTTTGCCTACGGCCCCAACAGACTGCAGAGTCGCCACTGAGTCTGAATGACCCGTCATTTACTCCGCTGCCAGTCGGCGCGTTCATCGGATAAGAACCGAACTCGAGACCGAGGAGGTAAACGAGGCCTCCAGGCAACAACAGAGCCGTCTGTAATCTAGCTGCATGAAATCAATTCAAACTTCAATGACCGCTATTTATGCTTGTCAGTGTGCTAAAAACGGTACAGACCAACATAAATATAAATGTCTAAATATCAAACATGTTATGATTTGGTTGTTGATCCCTTGGTAACCACCGACTCGTGAGCTAAAAGAAGCTTCAGCGACTCACATTCAGTGTAATGAGTTAAATTACTGATTAATACAAGGTCAGACGTGTTGAGCTCACGCTGATATTAGCCAGGGTTGTAATTAAATGCCGTAAATGAGCCATCTTGGTTAGCTCGTCAGCACAGCTAGCTTAGCTCTGCCCTGCAGCAACAAGCAGCGCGCGCGGTTGAGAAATCCTACCTGAACGGTTTAACGACAGGTGATCCCGCTCCGGAAGATCAAACGACGTAACGCCATGGCTACAAATATGCACGTGAAACGGCTCCGGTTGTGGTAGGTGTGCGGGTTACTTCCAGGGCTCACAGAGGAGTGTTAAAGCAGTCCGGATCAGGGTCGAGGCTCGAATCTCCCGGCGCCAGTTCACTCTGCCCCGCCCCCATCCTGCCGTGACGTCACAGCCGAAGATCGTTTGTTGGGAGGATGGATCACATGCAGCCTAAAGTCTTGAATCAACATTAACCTAAGGGGAATGTCTGCTACTATGAGATCGTGCATGATGACCTGAGTAAAGCAAAAGACAAAAAGTGGTAATTTTAAGAGTCCTCAGGATTCCTACATCATGTCTATCTCCTCCCTATATTAAGGCTAGGTTGAAATATGTCCTGCCATGCTTTTCATCTTTCCTGTTTGGTCATAATACACAAGTAAGCCTATTTGTAGTGCCCTCATAATTTCTTTCCATACAAATGTTAATGAATATTTAATGATGTCATCTCTATGCTGCACTCACTTGTCAGTAAAGACAACATTAAGGGCAGTAAGAGGTAAGCAGGACCCAGTTTAAATTTACATATGCAGCAAGGTGGTAGAAGGGGAGCAGTACTGGTATGACAGATGAGTGGTACATGGGTGGTGCATGGAGCTGGCCCCCTGGCGGCATGCCATCAGCCATGGCACAAGCTGTGAAGTCACGTTGCACTTCACTGTTCCCCAAGTGGCATACCATATGCCACTTTTACACCAGGTGCATTTCTACACGATCAAATAAAAGAAAGTCCTTGTCTTATTTGCCATATTTCATCGACATGTTTTTATCCTGCTTTGCCTTCTTTTATCCTTATATCATCAGAAAATGTCAATTAATTGTTCTGTAGACAGTTAAAGCCAGAATAAAAATGTTGTGGTAAAAAAGAATGGACCATAAACACTTGGAAAGTTCTCGAGCAGAAGACAACGTTGAATCAATATTTTTGAAATGTTGAAAAGGATTTCCGTCTTGTGATTTTCAGTAAAGGAAGAAGAAATGTAAAGGCATGTTTATTATTTTTGTCCTGCATATTTTTGCATGTAAACATCATCAGTGATAATACAACACACAGGCTGAAAATGTCAACATGGTAACAAAAAGGCTAAACTCAAACATCAAACGTGACTTTACATGACATTTAATGATGGTATTTGACACCAAATTTGACACAACAGCCTGCAGAATATGCTCTAAAACAGTGTTTCTCAAACTTTTTAGACTGTGTACCACCTCCGAAAATATTTGGCTCTCCAAGTACCACCATTATGGTAGATGTTAAAATACACTGTAGGCCTATTTCAACACACATGTCACGCAAGAGGCAAATTTATTCATAAACAGAATATTATTTAATATTGACTGTTGGCAGCCACACTGTAGGCCTACTAAGGGCTAGCGCTAGAACTGGCACTTAAACTAACACAACTCAACATTTGACCAAATCAAAAAAAAGTGCAAAACAATAAAAATCACAACTTTATACCAACAACCTGTTTTAGAATATTTAATCTCCAGTGTTTCCCACACAAACACGATACCTGGGCCCATGTGTATTTCCGACCTGTTCTTATTTAATTTTTCATTTATTCATAAACTTGCTGCGTGCCTGAGAGAGAGGGAGGGAGGGGGGAGAGAGAGAGCGGGGGGAGAGAGTCTCTCCCCCCGCTCTCTCTGGTGTCACAGAGCTCCACAGGCTCTGTGACACCAGAGCCTCTGTATTATAAGTCTCTGCATTCAACATAGCAAAACTGCCTTTAAAAAAAAAAATCCCTCTCGACTCCTGCGGAGTGTTAAGACAACAAAAGAGAGCAGAATCACAGAGAGAGAGAGAGAGATAGAGTATAGGTATAGAAGATAGGTATTCTGATATTTGTAAACCTAGCCTATTTTGTTGATTTGGCTGTAAACAGGGGGGGATGTAGGCCGGTAAAGTATGGAACAGTACGGTACTTCATACAGATTCATTTTATTACAGCCTGTTTGATGCTGCAGGCTGAAGCAATCTACCAAAGCACATCCAGATCTTTTTCTTTGCATTAGTTTTGATCAACATGTAAAAACTGTTGCATATTCGAGATTAATCCTTGGTTTGAGAACCTATAAGTAATCATAAACACAATCTTATCTGGCCTTCAGTGCCGTGTAAACTCTTCTTGTGTGATTTTCAGCACATAACACACAATGTGATGACTCGATGACTCCTCCTGAGGACGATCACAAACCCTGAGTATCGCTCACTGACAGTTTTACTGCTCCTCTAACTGCGCCACCACGCAGCGTAGTTTATCCACCAGCACTGCAGAAGACAGAGACAACAACAGAACATGCATTGTTATTATTGTTTACAGTCCGTTTTCTACAAATTACAATATCATCAAAATTGGAAAAAGAAAGAAAGAAAAGCAGCAATGGTAATGCAGTATCTTTCAGTAGTCAGTAAGCACTGTTATCTTTTTAACTGGACTGGAAAGAGCACACGACACCACACTGTTCATCTCCCTGCTCACATCAAATTTAGAACAAATTTAGAAATTTACACTCTCTCAGTCAGGTCTGTACTTCCTCCCGCCCACTACAGCTCATTGTTTCAGACAGCGGATAGCGACTTTCCATTAATTTCCTATGGAGAGCCAGAGAGGCAGTGGCACAGGGCATATTGGGATTGTTGCAACGAGTTTCCGGAGGGGCTCCACCGGACATAAATAGACCAGAGTTCTTTTCACACAAATGATTCCATGGTCTGCCCGGATTCAACACGCATTTATCAAATCAGGTTCATTCATTGAGGCTACGTTAGCTATTGCGTAACCTACAGTGAAAAACTTGACTATCAATGTTGGCTAGAGAGGTCCAGGAGACAATCGGAAACAAGCTCACTTTTCAGTGGACATACGTCCATCAAGCAGGGAGTTGAGTGCTCCGACTTGATCCCTAGTGTCCTCGCCTGAAGCAGTGGAGCCCTAAGGTCAGTCCCTAACTAGACTCTTCTCCTCTGTGCCCCCCCCCCCCCCCCCTCAATTTTTACAGCAGAAATACACTTATAAGGATTTGCTCAAAAAGCCGTTTTGTTCTGAATCAATCAAATCTCTGTTGGTAGAAACCAAAGAGTTTATATTAGTTATGATATCTCAGTGGTTGTGTGTTTTTTACCTCCAGCAGACGGTCTCAGAAAGCTGTCGTAGGCCCGACATGCGTCGATCAGATTTCCCAGTGGTTCAGGACAGTCGTCAGGGAGCGGCTCCACAAACTTGTCTTTGCACACTTTTTGATAAATGTCCTTACTCGACCAACCTGGAAGAGAAATGGGAAAACATATCAAACAAATGTAAAGACATACACACATCAAACATTCATATATGAAAAGTAACACACATTAACACCATTCTCAGTTCTCTCTTCTCCCTCTTAAGGCCACCATACCAAAAGTAAAATCTAGATTTGTGTTCCTGTTTCTGAGGTTAAGTTAATGATATAACTTTCAATCTACCAGAGGTTCCTTAATTTCAGGTTTGTATCCAACCAGTAAGTTAAGTAGCCCTAGCTTAAGGCCCCTTGTGTCCACCTAACGTTTTTTCCGGGCAGAAAAGCGCTGGCTGTGCGCTCTGGAGTGCTCCGTTACTTTAAACTGCATGTTTCTTTATTTTAGATTATAGTTTATTTCCCGATCAGACACGGAGCAGAGAGGATTTGGGTACAAGACACGATCTGTAGGTGGCAGAACTTCAAAGATATCATACTTTTGGACAAATACAAAAAAAGGTCTGAACATAGTCCTCTTACCTTAATTTGCATATTTAAAGGTCACTACTCCTCCTATTCAACCAGTGTAAATAAACCTCAGAGCTCCCCAAAACATGTGTGTGAAGTTTCTGTTTCGCTTTGAATATTCAGAAGACTAGAAAAGCACTAAACAAGTCCATTTACCATTTAAATTAAAGGAATGACCATAAAAGATACATAGATGATACACACCATCAAAAGGTCTCTTGCGGGTTGCCACCTCCCACAGGACGATTCCAAAACTGAAAGACAACGACAAAATAGAAAGAACATTTTTTAAATATTTTCTTGACTTTCATGTCCTTTAGAAATGTGTTAACCTTTTAGTTGCCTTGTTTGATGTTTTGAGCTTCATTGTGCATGATCCCACCATCACAGCTATTCTTATATCTATTATTTATCTGCATAAAACTTCAATTTCACTTCGACGTACAGGGATACAGGGATGCTGCTGCAAACATTCTAAAAATATATTGTTTACTAAGCAATTTCAAAATGTATTTCTCTAACTTAAAGGAAGAATGTGTGACTTTTTGATCCAGTAGATGTTGCCCCGTCACAGAATGACGGTGATCTAAAAAACACTTCTTCTTCTCTCTAGTCCTTGACCAAAACAGCTTTTATACACAAGGGGAGGAGCTGGCCATCCCGTCCATGTAAACACAGCTCTGACAACACCACAGCCAGCGGGACTCGAGCTTCTCACTCATTGTAGACAGTCGAGACATTTCCACAGGATAGACTTGATTTATGATATATTTATGGGTCAAATGTTGCTCTTCCTTTAACAGCTGTTTAGATCCCAAAACATATGAATAAAGAATGGAGTCTACCTTCAAAAGTACCCAAATGTTTTCTAACATTTCCAACTGAGGACTTGCACTCCTGTAAACCTTGTTCTCAGCAGGTTCTCTCTGCTAAAATAAAGTATCAATAAATAAGGAAGTGTGTTGGGTGACGGCTGCTTCCCGACCTGTACATCTCACACCCTTTGCTGTAGAGGTAGTTGATGTTGTCAAGCGTCTCAGGAGACGAGTAACACACCGAACGGATCTCTTTGTCCTTTGATGCTTTTTTCAGAGAGGTCTCCGTTTTTGTCAGCTCAAAACCTCCCAGCTGGAAAAAAACACAACAACGACTACAACATCAAGACTTCAATCGCTTCCCCCCAAAACCCTTAAATCCCTCCTTCCGATCAGTATTCCCAGCATGCACTGCGCTCAGTATACCTTGACCGTATAGCCTTCAGCCACGAGGAACTTGCTGCTGTTGATGCATCCGTGAACCTTTGATTTTTTTTCTGTCTGGTGCAGTCTGAAAAACAACAACAATAGTTTCCTGCATCATAAATAATACTGTAAAAGGCTAACTCATGCATGAACATGGGATCTTTAATAACAGACTGACCTGTAGAGTCCTTGTGCTGCGTCCAGACACATGCGCGCTTTCCTTGTCCAGGACAGTTTGCAGGGGGAGTCCAGGACCTGTCGGAGACTCCCCTTCTCACAGTACTCCATGATGATGAGGAACTGAGGCTCTGGCCCTGCCACAATGTCACAACTCCTTAATTATGATTTTTTTTTTAAATACCATGAGCCAGATGTTGGGTGATTTGAACACTCACTCACCGTCCTTGTCCTGGTCGCAGATACCAAACATTCGCAGGATGTTAGGGGACTCAAACCGCCTCATGGTTTCAACCTCCTTATTAAAAACAGACCGCACCTCACTGGAGAGGGAGAAGATGTCGTCTTTGGTAATGAATGTTAAAATGTTTACAGCACACACAGTAATTACATACTATATAATACATACTACATAGAAGGGTTTGTGCTACGCAATTACTGAGCTCAGATTCCAGGTTATTATCACTGGATGTATAGAAAAAAGACGTTCTATGGCTGATGCTGCTTCACTTAAACATCCATTTTCACCATATACCGCCCATTGGGACAGGAAGTGTCAAGACAAGAGTTTTGCTTCTTGAGCCCTCTTCACACATGCTCTGCAACCCCTGAAAACCAACCATCCTTATTCAGGAAGGCTGCAAAACATCCTCATCTGTCCACCCTGACTTTGTCCAGACATTTTCCTGCAGCACGCTGTAAACCAGTCTGTGTGAGGTCAGGGTGAGTCGATGTGCTTCTTTTTGCTCTCTACTGATTGCCTCAGTACGTTTCCATGCACATGTAAAAGGTTAAAAATGTGTACATAATTCATAAAAATGCATAACGTGTAAGGCTGAAAATTAATATTAAATAGTCACTGGGACAAAGTTCATGATATGACTAAAATACAGTTCAATGCTTTAAAAATATCTTTATGTGCTTAAAAGAGACCAGTGTTTTTAATCGTTACAATGTTAGTGTGATACTCAAACAGGTCACTAGAGGGCACATGGAGCTAGTGAAGAAGATAATACCCCAAAAATTAAATCCAGCAGCCAAGCTTAACTTCTGACTGTTGGACTTCTGAGTCACAGAGTTTAAACAAAAAAGGTAGAGGAAAAAAACCCAGGAACGAAACTATAGAACTGATTAAACACTCAGGGGAAATACATGGAAGAGCCAGAAACACGGGTAGGTAGCCACAGGAATGTCGGTGCCTCTGATGGGGACACATAAGTAGGCTGGGCCTCCCACAGAGAAGCAGGAGTGGGCAGGGGACAAAGTAGTCTGGGGGAACTCCAACCGGGAACCACTGGAACTATGGGTCAATCGGCCCCACTCTGCAACAGGGGGCCGGAGGTGCTCAGCAGGAATAGGGGGCTGGAGGAACTCAAAAGAACCAGGGTGAAGACGGAGCTCTGCCGAGACGGAAACAGATGGCGCTCTGCTGGGACTGGGGCACAGGGTGGCTGAGGCTCTAGAAAGCTGGCAGGCTTTGGCTGGCACACCAGTTGCTGAGGTAGAAGCTTGGGCTGGCACACCGGCTGCTTTGGTTTAGGATACTTTCTGGAGCTGTCTGATTAAATGGCGAGGTCCAGCAGGAAGGCAACCAATCGAATCTGGACATCGCTGTGAGCCCTGTTGACCTTTTCTCCTCCTGCCACGAACTAGGGTAGATGGCAAGTCGTGTCCCACTCCAGGGGACTCCAGATTTGAGTCAAAATTACAAAAATCAGCTGTGTCTGTTTTGTATTCTAGTACGTATTTATTGAATCAAAGTAATAGTAGCAATAAGGCAGTGTAGAAATACTGAAATAAAAGTCTGGAATTTAAAATTTTACTTTAACCAAGGTATACTCAGTCTGTTCATGTTGGCCCATTTCAAAATGATGTTTACTGTTGGAATGTAATTATTGATGCACTAATGTGCTCATGTTGCAGCTGTAATGATGGAGCTCATTTAATTGACTTAACCCCACTGAGTTTCTCACCTCTGCAGAGCGGACACATTGCTGCATGAAGAATCGGTGACTGTTGTGCTGTCGGTTCTGGAAAGTTACAAACATTGATGGGCACAAGCTGCTATCACACGCTATGCTCCACCAGAACCGCTTCTTAGGAGGAATAAGGACTTCCATGCTCAGCTCATCAAAGTTGCAACCAGCAGTACTAACAGTCATGGAGGTCACCTCCAAATAGATTTACACCTCCAAATGGATTTATGATTTACAGACTTGTATAATGTTTTTAAATGGTTCTCTGGGAGGGCTGGTTCTCGTCATAATGGTGCATTCCATCTACCTCCGAACATAGATCCTTGAGCTGGGAACTCGCAAGCATCATAGACGCCTCCAGGAGTATCGTTGTTTGGTAAGCTAATACCAGGCGATTGTGTTGTAGTACTCAAAATAAATTTTGGTCTCAAGGCCGGTCTCGAGTCCACTTTTTGAAGGTCTTGGTCTCGTCTCGAAATCTAAATCATGTTTACTCGGTCTTGTCTTAGTCTTGGAACACTCTGGTCTCGGGCTTGTGGGCGAAAAATAACATGACAACATGTCCAAAGATAGAACTTGAACTAAACTTTCAGTGTGATTGATTTAATAACTCAAAAAGAGGACTAAGCTCTAAACACGATAGTTACAGATTAAACGTTACTGTCGATGCACGTAGCAGCCATGTTGGATTTTAATTCAGGCTACTGAAGGTTCTCCCGAGTTCCAGAATTCTTACTTTAGGAGGTCGTTCCTGATCCCGTATCAGACTGGCAACTCAGAATTTCCTACTGCCAAGATCAAATGGAATGCACCATTATTTTCCCCTCAGAGCTCCTCCCCTTCTCAAGCATCAGGCAGGTGTGATTGGAGGGTTGTTTCTGAAGGTATTCCAGCATCCAAGAAGCAGTTCTGATGAAGCATTCAGGCACCTGACAATAAACGTTCTCATGCTGAATTGGTTTGTTTTTTTGTTCAGATGTTTAGTTCAGCCCAAATCCATTTTTTTTAATTAACAAAAATATTTAGAGTTCACCAACTTTTACAGCATGCAACATGCACCCTCTATCTTAAGACACACTTACAAAACATCTTTCCCCTAAGATGAAATCTAACAGGAGAAATGAAGAAACCTCAGAAGAGCAACAGAGACAGGATCCCTCTCCCTGACAGGGCTCCTTTTAGTAGCACATCAAGACTTGTGCATGCAGAAACGATGGTAAGAAAACAAATGAAAAAGGGCTGACGTGTATTTAACGCGGTATTTATCATTATTATTATTATTATGTGCCACAGACCTGGGGCTGGTGTTCAAAGGTTCGGTGTATCTCTTGATGGCCACCTTGAAGCCGTGGTACTCTCCTCTGTACACCTCCGAGGTTGACGTCTTCATGAAGGGCTCTTTGGGATATTCATACTTTATCTCTTCTGGTTTGATCATTCGGATGACTTCATCAGTGGCGCTGGGTTTGTTCACTGTAAAAAACATACACACACAGTCACAAGTTATTCTTTGGTTTGGGTACTGAGTGACAGTTTAAGGATATAGACCAAATGTTTGACAAACCGTTATTCAAAATGAGAGGTTTTTTACTTCTCAAACTTCCTGAAATCGATTTTTGGCCACATGGGGGCAGCAAAAACAAGAGCACACATCAACACTTTTCTTGTTAGCTAACATCTGCATGCTTAAATGAAGAATGTGAGACTTTTTGATCCAGTAGATGTCGCCCTTGAGAACCATCATCAAACCAAAACAAACTTCTGTTGGCCACACCTCCTCCATACTGAAGTCCTGAGCGCTAAAACTCTCCTCCAGCGACACATCTCCAACCCCTCTCCACTCACGTTCTTACAGAGGAGTTATGAATTAGAACGCACCATAATTAAGCACCATAAAGGGCAAGCAGAGGACTAATGTTAGCGCTCTTTAGTTAGCTCGTAGCTTCACATTGCATGTAAATTTACACAGAATGAGCATGATCTAAAAACTCTTACTAACATCCAAATAATCAGTGAGTATGTTCTTCTTCTCTCTAGTCCTTGACTAAAACGGCAGTCCATGTAAACACGGCTCTGACAACACCACAGCCAGCGGGACTCGAGCTTCTCACTCATTGTAGACAGTCATGACTCAGAGACACATTTACACAGGATAGACTTGATTTATGATATATTTATGGGTCAAATGTTGCGCTTCCTTTAACAGCTGTTTAGATCCCAAAACATATGAATAAAGAATGGAACATGTTGTACATTCTTCCTTTAACGCTACAGTAAGGACTTTTTTATCCCGGGGTTGTAACGATACAAAACAGAGAACGAAAAAACGTCAACCCAAAGTGAACAGACTCCCTGTGTGTGTGATCAGCATCTGGACCATTTCTCAACATGCTTTACAAAGTTACATAAAGACTAGTCCCTATTAGGTAAATATATCAGCAACTTTTTTCTGCTTCATCCTGATGCACTGCCCCATGTTACTGATGTTACCCATGTACAGCCCTTGGGCCAAACTATCAATATCGATGGGTACTTACACATCTCCATAACCTTTTCCACGTTGAGTTTGACTTGTTCAAATTCTTTCAGCATCTTATTGATGTTCTCTGTCTGGTTGGCCATGTAGTCCTCGAGCACTGGAGACAACAAAGCAAACAAGATGTCAGAGTCAGGTTTGTTTACATCCAGAAACGGATGGTTTCTTCTCCTGTTCAAATCAGAACAAAAGTTTCAAGGAATGAAGGACTCTTGTTTTGTGTTTGTGCACACCCACTCTAATAGGTGAAGATTGGGTGAGAAACGCTCTGAAACGGAGGTCTTCAGCGCTTCCAGCTGTGAGCACAGTGAAAGCCGAGGGCCAAGAGCATTTTAGCGCTCAGGACGGTGAGCACTAAACTACACTGGTTTTGTGTTGAAAAGGGGCGCTGCCAGTGCAAAAATCTCTTGGACACAGGCCTTAACTGAGGTCATAAATTACCTGAGAAGAAGATTCATTCATGGGCAGTTGCGATAACTTCTTCTGTATTTAAGAATACTAATTTGCTGGAGGAAGTTATTTAATAATCAAAGTAATTTACCAAACAGCAGGCTTAGATTTCTGATGGTTAATTTTTGTTATTAAAAAGCTTTTAAAATGTATTACTACATTTGAAACTAAGATTTAGCCACATACAGAACAAGTCAAAATCTGTTTTCTCACATTTCTTGAGCTCTGTGTCGTCCTCCCTCCCGTCCACCTCGTCTTGTTTCTCCCTGGAGCTCAGTTCAAACACCTGGTACAGGATGTTCCCCCTGCTCCACCTGTTGAGCCCCAAACAGGATCTGGAAGGCATCATTGAACCGTTCGTTCACGCTGTTGAACTCGTCTCCGTGGCTGCCCGAGTGTACGATGCGGTCAATCCAGCTGGCCACCGTGTATTTCCTGATGAGCTCCTGGGCTGATGTCAGAGTGATGCAGAGCTCTTTGAGAGCTTTCTCCACGTCGGCCGAGGTTTGTCCCTTGTCTCTCTGTTTGATGGACTTCACCAGATCCTCCAGGGCTTGGACTCGCTCAGAAACACGGCGGCAACGCTTTTTGTTGGCCTTCACGTTCTCCACCAGCTTGTAGATCTCTGAGGCCAGGGACAGGATGGGATCTACAAAATCCATGATGAGCTGGAGAGACAGGGAGGAGGTTGTCAAACATCAGAACCAAATAATAGAGCACATTGCAAATTAAAGTCAGCTACAGTTGATGAACCACAGCAGGCTGCAGCCAGGGGAACTTCACATACAGAACATCTCTGATTCCCTCCTGTGCATGGTAACAAAAAATCTCCCCCTGCTTCATTTCACCTTCTAAGGCTGGCTTCATACCAAACGATCGGGGGCATGGCCCGATTGAGGCTTGTCGCAACCAATTATTGGTCCAATTAATCCTCAGGTGTGTTGTGTCAACATCCAGTTAGTGAAGCTGCCCAGTCTGCTCGCTCGCATTGGCTATTGTGGATGCAGCCCAATCTAGAATCAGAAATATCCAACATGCTTGATATTCATGATTCAGCCTAACAGGTCTTACTTTTGCTGAAATAACAACATCACACGATGCAGATTTACAAAAAGTAAAAAGGTAACCTTTAACAGGTCTGTCCTCATGAGGAGCAGAAAACAACTTTTTCAAATGTTTTATGCTGAATGGGGGTCAGATGGATCGTTTCTGATGCATTCAAGGAAGTTGGGAAACCTAAACAGCCAGTGGACAGCTGTGGCTCAGTGGTAGAGTCGATCGTCTTTCAACAGGAAGGTCAGGGGTTCAATCCCCAGCTCCTGCAGCAACACTTACATTGTGTCCTTGAGCAAGACACTTGACGCCAAATAGCTCCTGCTTCGTTGGTAGGTATGACCTGTGATGTAAAAGCTCTTTGAAGACCAGAAAAGAAATATACAAGCTCAAGTCAATTTAACGTTTAAACGCTGATTGGCTTTGGAACAAAATGAATGAAATGTCTCTTGTTGGTAACTCTTCCTTTAGGTCTGTTTAGATGTAACAGTATGTGTCAGACTCTCACAGCAGCAGAGCTTTATTTGGAGAGGAGCCAAGTGAATGGTGAAAGCTGAAAAGGAAATACGATTTGCTGAGGTTTAAATAATGTAGACGTTTGACCTTTACCAGAGAAGGTAATGTCTTCTTTCTAGCCTATGAGAAGGGCATCACAATGCAAAGGAATCTGTAGGCTGTAACTTCTAACAGGATATATGCAAGACTCAAGCACGGTGCTTCAACGAGGTGTATAACTCTGTCACAAATCTGTCTAGCCCCGGTTTCCTTTTAAAATAATCTGTAAAAAATAGCACCACAACATATAAGTCAAGTTCCCCCTCAGCACCGGGAGAAAAAAAATCCTGCCGCCGTCCTATGGCGAGACTGTTATCATGAAAAGTTTGTGTTCTGTTGCTGTCTGACCTCGGTCGAATAAATCCTAAAATAATCCACAGTCTGTCTCAGTTTCCATCGTTAAACAATTACAGAAGAAACAGATTGTTATAAAATAAATCATCCTCAGATTTTCACAGATTGCAGGTGCGTTGTCATAGAGACATGCATAAAGAATGTTTCTCCTGCAAACCCCAAAGCCTGCTTCTACATTTCAGTATAGAATCTGTAAATACATTTTAGTCGGTATGTAAGCAATCAAACGCACAGGAAAGGAAGTCTTGGCCGGAAGTCCTTTTTACTCTGGTAACACTGCAGGGGGCGTGGCCAGAGGGGTCATGCATTGGCCCCCCTAGAAATCTGATTGGCCACTCCAAAAATCCCAAACTGTGATATTAGAAAGGGTGAATAATGGATATTTATATGTGTGTATATTGTGTTTGTTTGTTCACACATTACACTGAAGGCCATCCCCGCATAAGTCAGTGTCCCAGCTGGGCCACCCCAGTCATAAAAAGTCTGGGCACGCCCCTTTGACACTGGAACCTTCTTTCTCATGAGGCGACAGCTGCTGGGTTCAAACAGCGTCAAACGATGTGAAATACCAGGAAGTTCCCTTTAAGTATCAGATTCTGTGTCGAACCGTGCTGGAATGAAATCAATAAACCGAGCTGAGAAAATTTCCCATGAGACCGTCTGTACAAATCCAATCAGGAAGGTGTGCAACGCTGAGCCGAGGCTTTCAGGTAGACGAGGAGACGCTCCATCAATAATTCACATTGACATTAAGACGGTGTAGCATATCGCTGAGTCAGCGTCCATCACTCTGAGGCTGAACCAGACCTGCTGTTTGATCCACACAACACAACGTACGACAGAAGGTGAAACTTTGAAGATAATCTCATAGAAGTTGTAAGCATTATCCCGTCAGACTTTATGTTTACATCAGCAGACAAACTCTCCCGTGCTCTCTGCATCTAAAGTGGGAGAAGTATAAACATAATATGAGGATGGAATCAGTCTTTGTTCACCTGGAAGAAACTCGAATCTGAAGAGGTGAAGTGTTTTGAATGTTTACCCACGTGACCTTTTCCAAATATCATTTTATAACATATGCAAATTAAAAGAGATGTTCTTAGGGTTGTTTCAAAACTAGTAAAAATAACTCATTTAAAATGGTGGAATCTGAGAGGGCCTTCCTCTGGACGTCTGAGACCAGGTGAAACATCTTCAGGTAAACTTGTCTGCTCTTTCAAAAGCTTAATGTGATGATACTGTTTTGGTTTTGTTTGGTGTTCTTTCTCCTTCTCCCCTTCCCCTTTCTGTTCTCTTCCTCCTGCAGGTTTGTGTGTGTGGCAGAGGGTTTGGAATGCTTCTCCCCCGAGGCTGCAGGTGAGGCTCAACTGGCTCCATTCACCTGACAATAAAAGCCTGGCCTTCACTCCACTTCTCCGTCTTGTTCAGTAGAGTTCTGCATGCTCTCTTTGTGTTTCTCGTATCGACATCCAGTGCTGATTTTGCAGTGATTTGTGGCTTTTCTGTTTTGTTCGTACCTGTGCTGAGGTATTCCTGTGTGCCTCACTGCTTCACCAGTCTCGGTGTCTGTCTTGAGTTTTTTCATGCTCCAGGTTATTCTACCGACCAAGCCGCTCCAAGCCTTCACTGCCCGCTCTTTTTATCCTCTTTTTCTTTAATAAACTGTTTTTAACATCCACCTCCTCGTGCTAGCCTCTGCTCCGGGTTTAAATTAAATCAAAATACTTAAACACAAAACAATCTTTAAAAGTTTTGGTAATAACACTGTAAAACACTAACATGTGTCTCTACTCTGTCTAGAAACCCCCCCAATGATGAGAAAAGTCCATCCTCTCCGTCTTTTCCCTGCTCCACTTTTCAGAAAATGTGTGCTCAAACAGGCTGTTTGGAGATTTTCCAACCTCAGGGTTAAGGGTCTTGCCAAGGACACATTGGACATGTTTAGCTGGGGATTGAACCCTTGACCTTCCAGTTGAGAGACAACAACTCTACCAACTGAACCACAGTCTCCCTTTACTTTACCCTCACCCACAAACCTGATACATGTTAATTGAAAATAAAGAACCTCTGGTAGATTGAAGGTTATAACATTAACTTAACCTCAGAAACAGGAATCTAGATTTCACTTTTGTGGGCCTTAAGAGGGAGAAGAGAGAACTGAGAATGGTGTTAATGTGTGTGAATTTTCCCCTATGAATATTTGATGTGTACTAAGATCTTTAGTTTCTTTACATTTGTTTGATATGTTTTCCCATTTCTCTTCCAGGTTGGTCGAGTAAGGACATTTATCAGAAAGTGTGCAAAGACAAGTTTGTGGAGCCGCTCCCTGACGACTGTCCTGAACCACTGGGAAATCTGATCGACGCATGTCGGGCCTACAACAGCTTTCTGAGACCGTCTGCTGGAGGTAAAAAAACACACAACCACTGAGATATCATAACTAATATAAACTCTTTGGTTTCTCCGAAGAAAGATTTGATCGATTCAGAATCACTAACCGGGAGATGAACAGTGTGGTGTCGTGTGCTCTTTCCAGTCCAGTTAAAAAGATAACAGTGCTTACTGACTACTCAAAGATACTGCATTACCATTGCTGCTTTTCTTTCTTTATTTTTCCAATTTTGATGAATTGTAATTTGTATAAAATGGACTGTAAACAACAATAACAATGCATGTTCTGTTGTTGTCTCTGTCTTCTGCAGTGCTGTTTTTAGTGATTAATTTAAGCAGCAAATTTGAGACTTTTTCACTTGCCATGCTTTTGTTTTTGCTAAAAAAACAATCACATTTTAATCAAGAAATCAACTTTTCTTAACCCAAAAAACCCTAATTTATGTTGCTTCTTTTGTAAAGACTTGAATCAGGTATTAAATCCTGAGCTTCTTGAACTTTGGCAGGCGAAAACTTGTCTTACTTGAGGCTTGGGGCGCTGGTGGCGAAGTGGTTAGTGTGCGCACCCCAATGTCTGGAGGTTGTAGTCCTCCAGGCGTACGGCCCAGGTTTGAATCTGACCTGTGGCTCCTTTCCTACATCTCATTCCCTACTCTTTCTCCCTGATTTCCAACTCTATCCACTGCCCTGTCTCTCCAATATAGGCACAAAACACCCAAAACATTAAATCTGGATTGAGGCTGTGCAGGTAAGGAGGAGCCTCATCTCTGATATTCAAGGTGGGGTTATCATGACTGAGGTGTATTTTCTCTCTCTGATGCCCTGGAAGGAATAACTCGTCTTTGTGTGTTTGCCAATTTTCACTTTCGTCACACACACACACACACAAACACACAAACACACAAACACACACACAAACATTCACACACTTCAGGGTGGGTCTCTGTGAAATCTTTCTCTTTAAAAAACAAATGCAAACCAACAGAACAATGAAGCTTTGAGAAGATAGCAGTCAGTTTGCACTCCTGATCACCTGTTCACGTCTAACACCAGGACACATTAGAAGCTTCTCAGTCAGCAGATGATGACAGAAATCATAAAGATGATTTACCTTTAAGTGACCTCGATGAGAGCTCTCGTCTCAGCTCAGGTGAACGTTGTGTGTTTTCAGCTGTGTGAAAATGAAACAGACCTCTCTCTCTTAGCCGGCCGCTCCTCTCTCTGCTGCTCAACACTTCCTTTTCCTCTTTCACAGTCTGAGGTCCTCCCCCGTCTCTCTCTCTCTCTCTCTCTCTCTCTCTCTATCTCTCTCTCTGTGTTTTGTGACACGCCTTGATTTATTACTTTTCACCTCGAACGAGAAGTGTCACATCAGGAGGGCGGAGGAGCAGCAGCACAGCAGCTTCCTGACACAAACAGTGTTTTACGGGAAACACTTCTACTTCTCACTGATTGATTTCTGTTTTTTCTCGCACAGAATCAAACAGTTGTGTTGATCTTCTTTCAAGCTCTAAGTCAAGTTTGCACAGCTCACTACGAGGATAAACATTATTCATAAAATGTTGGAGTTTCTCTGGATTGTTTTAGGCCAAGAGATTTTTTTGACAAGATGCTCCCAGTACATTGATACAAATACATTTTTATTTCTGTGCATTTCTACAGAGTACAGAAGTCCCAAAGTGTGAAAACATTTTTTTTTATTTTCTGCAACAATTTTCACTTTTTGGGACTTTAGGGGCTCTGAACATTTCAAAATGAACCCAAGAGCACAGAAAAAACACATTCCTAATTAGACTAAATAAAGGTCCAATCAGTAAGATGTGTAGTGAGTGAAATGTTAAAGTGAGCTTACTATATGATCAGACATTAAGGAAACATGCTATGTTGAAGTGCTGGCTTCTCTGACAACAATGCAGCAGCCAGTATGTCCTCCTTCTAACTTTAGATTCTGGTCCTGAATGCTCTGGATTTGTTTGGACCAGAGAAGGTAGGCAGTTTTAAGACAACCCCACACGGCCGTTTTGGACGCCCCTCGGTTTGCCAGATATGAGAGCAGTTATCAGGTCAAACCAACAAGTGTTGCAGCGATGGAAGCGGGCAAGAGAACTGGTTCAGATAGAAGTGATTGTACCCGAACTAAACAGCCTCTGCATGTTTCTAATAAGCTCCACAAGCAGAAACGTGCTCAAACTAGGATCAATATTGGAGATGATTTTGAAAAATGGAGAGAGGTTAGAACACAGAAAGACTGTCTGCAATGTTTCTGTCATTTTAGTCTCCCTTAATTATGTAGCCAATCAGATGGAGATGTGTGCATCTGAAGACATCAAAATCTGCATAGAGGGCTGACGTTAAGGACTCATCTTGTTTCGTTTTAAAAATTAATTTCTGAAAAGTTTGGCAGCCAGTCAGACATTTTATGTGAGCTCGGTGGATGCACTCTTGACTTCAAGTTTTATTGGACAATAAAACAATTACATTAAAGATCTGAGTTGTGTAAGGTCTGGACTCACGCCTGCACAGGAAAAAGAGCCTGTTTGTGTCTGATATAAGACTGTAAACACTTTATTGTCATCGTAGGTACAAGGACACTTCAGCGAAACAGCATCACATAAAAAACTACATCGAAAATAATCTGCCCAAGGACAATTTCTAAGATTTATTTTGGGGCTGTCGCCTTTTTTCGATAAATAATGTTTTTAGGTAAATATCTGACCATGAGCCTTCTTTTATGGTCCACTTGGCTTTCATTCAATCAATCAATCGTCTGTTAAAATTGACTGAGCCATTTCATCTTGCTTCATTGATACGTATAATAAATTATCATCTGGATAACGGGACATTCATGGAGTGTTTCCTGGAGTGTAAAACGGTATCAGTATCGGCACGAGTAATACATTCTGCTATCGAGTTTTTTTTTTGATATACCGTCATCACTGGTTTAAACACACGTTTGGTTGTAATACACACACAAGGCAACATCCATTCCTCAACCTGTTGGCTACTGAGGCGGGAAAACGAAGCGTTACATATTTGTGATTTGTGACTGAAGATGGCTCAGATTGAGTCCCCTGGTCTTCTGCATGTTTCGCTTTGACACCTTGTGTCTGAGCGGGTGTCAGTTTTTACAATGAAAGTGAATTGTGGCTCAGTAATCAGGTAAAATTGTTTCATATCCTCTCCAAGTTTCAGCAAATCACAGCAACCTTTCAGCCTGTTTGGGGCTGTAGCATATAGGCTACGTGTCATTTGAGCCCAGCTCTGCACAGATTTGCATCCACATTACAACAGGTCTACCTGCTGAATGTGTGTTTAAACTGACGTCTTAGTTACCTAAGATAATTTCAAACAGTGAGCTGTGGCTCTAACTTGCGGTCAAATGAGCAGCTGTAAATACTGAAACTCCCACAGTGTGATAGAAAATCTCTGCTAGTTGTAGCGCTGTTAAAGCTCAGTTTGTTCATTGCTAAACACATTTTGATTTCTGACAAATCCTTCACAATAAATGTTTCCTCTTGTTATGTTGTTGGATCACTTTTATTATGAAAGGACCATATCAGGAAATTTGATGTTTCAACAGCAGTTTAGCTCTATTCTGCAGGGAAGAAAACAAAACTTAAAACCCCAACATCTGAGTTACAATCTACGTACTGAGAACTGCACACACAGTGAAAAACATCTGTCTCTAGTCTCTAACTGAGTTGAGTATATATCCCAGGCTTGTTTGGGAAGAAGAGAGTGTTCAAATGTGCAATCCCTTTTACTATGTACTAATGCAAAATGAAACCGTAACCACAAAACAATAAAATAAATATTGTGCTTTGAATCTCAGCGTCTCCTTCTTTACAAATGAAAAGAGCTGTTGCAAACATCATTGAAAACAAATGTATTACTGGGAAAAGTAATTTGGGGAATCGTTTTGATGCCGCTTCTTTGGGCCGTGGTGGAGACCGTTTTGATTTGGGCCACTGGCCCGTAAAGAACATTGTTGGAGAAACCGATGTGCGGCAGGGCTCCCTGTAGGTATGGGGAGGGGACTTGGTTCACGACAGGATTTCCACTGAGAAAACCAGGTTTCCAGTCCATTAGGAGATTGGATGGTCCAGGTAAAGGCATAGAAGAGCTGGGAGACACCGCAGCTGTGGGAATAGGTGTTGGATCTGGGGAAGTAAATGTAGGAACAGAGGGTCTTCGTAAAAGAGTGTCATATACCCTGTTCAGCGTGTCCCGCTGCTCGATCAGAAGAGCCCCAGACAGCAAATCGAAGCTCTGAGTGAGTTTTTTGTCCATATTTTGGAACTTTTCCTCGTGGCTGTTGGACTTCATGAAGCTCTGGAAACGTTTAGTTTTGGAGAATTTCGCCATCCACTCTTGGACAGACTCCAGAGTGCTGCAGAGATCCATCAGAGCATTCTTTAGAGAGACCGAGATTTGGCCCCCATCCCCTTGTTGAATTTGGAGAACCAGTCTCTCTATCGATCTGACTCTCTCTGCGATATCTTGGCAGCGCTCCTTGTTGGCCTTCACATTCATAGCCATGCAGTAAATGGTCTTGAATAAGGAGAAGACATTCTCGATGACCGTGGGGATAAGCTGTGAAGACATAGAGGTCGTTAGTTTGTAGGAAAAGTGATAAGTGCTAAACATACATCTGAATGATGAGAACTATAATGACAGAAACCATGTCTGAGGAATTATTTGACGTGTATTTATGCGTAATTCCCAGTAATTCCCAGTTGTGACATCCAAGTCCTGATGTAAATGGAACGCATCATCTGACTTACACCTTGTCCCATCTGTCAACATAGAGGAGGCGGAGCTTATGACCTATCTTGCAGCCAGTCAGTAGGTGGAGCTCTAAATGTTTTGGCTTCACTTTTAGGCAGCGGTAATGTTGTCCATCTTTTTAAATGCTTCATTGTGCAGCTCTTGCAAAGGTCAACCATGAGGCCAAGCAAAGTCTTTTTTTTTACTTTTTACTTTTTTTTCTTAAACTACAAATTTGCTTCAAATCGCTGAACAGTCTGTACAGCAAAAAAACACACTCTGTCTGAAAAGCTTGGATGAGGAGGAAACTACCTAAAAAAACCTGAACAGGTAGAAGAAGAAATCAACCCTTACCTCGGCATTCATTATGTCAGCCCTCTTGGCTCAACTCTCAGCAGCAGGGTTTCTCCTCCACGGTGCAGGTCTTTGTGATGAAGAGTCCTCTGACAAAGAGGAACCTCAGGAATCCAGAGGTGACCACTAGGATGACTGGAGTCGTCAAACAAACAGCAGATGTACTGCAAGTTAGAGAGAAGAAGAAAGTAGTCAGCGTCTTCTTTCATGTAGCTGAAGCTGTAGAACAGAACATGTGATATTTACTATGAGAGTGATATAATTTTAATATACTTATGTAACTACCTTAACCTTCCCCCCACAACTATTCTGTCACAACAAGTTCAGCAGAAACCTGATCTGCCTACTTATAAGAAACAGTAGTATTTCAAAGAACTGACGATGACTCAGGCTGACGGTGATTTCTGCATGATAAGCTGTTAAAGGGTGAAAGGAATTTAAAGTTATCTTATATTAATAACGCCCATTTAAGTTTTGATCACGTCGCTGTTGTTTTAAAAAAACTGTCAACATTGCCTTTATTGCCAGATTTCAGGGTGACGTGATTGAGTCTGTATCATCTCATAAATACCTCGGATTCTTAATCGACTTGATTCTCTGTCTTTCAAGCTTCATATTCAGCAGCTTGTAAAAAAGCTGAAGTTGGGGTTCGGTTTTTATTTCAGAAACAAGTCTTGTTTTTCATTTGCTGCAATAATACGACTCGTTGCGGCTTCTGTCATGCCCTGATTGACTACGGTCATACAATACGGACAGTACTAACCAATAATACAAAATGGATCTATTTTATCTCAATTAAAACTGAGCAGTAGCATAAGTGCAATCAAAAGGTAATAAAGTCCCATGTCAAAAAAGTTTCCTTTCCTAACACCTCACGGTGAGATATTCTGTTAAGGTGTGAAGAAATAAAATCGTCTCCTTCAGCAAAATAAACCTTTAAAAAAACGACGTAATAATCCAAATTCAAGATCTTTTTCAGAGTTTACCGGCAAAACTTTAGCTGAAGTTTCTTACCTGTCGATGAGCGTCCTTTTCTGAATCAAACTGCGGCAAGTGAGTTGTTTTATCTTCACTTTAACTTCCCCGTTCCTGTCAAGACGTTTAACCTGAAACATTCCTCACACCTGGTGTTGTTCCAGCACGGTGCTAAAAACTCTAAATCCAATCAGCTTCTGTAGCTCAACTTGATTTTCCTGTTCATGGTTACAGTAACAGACTTTTATTTGAAAGAACACATATAGTAAGGATTTTTATTATTAGACTTTAGGCTTAATTGTCCCCATGGGGAAATTCCTTCTCACAGCACCGTTTCTTTTCTAGTCTTTGACTGCTGGAATCTCTTTCACACAGGTCACACCTATACATTCACACACTGATGGTAGAGGCTGCTGAGTAAAGAGATCATCAGTATTAACTCATCCATTCAATACACATTCATACACCGGCCATGAAACAGTGGGAGCAACTTGGGGTTAAGTGTCTTACCCAAGGACACATCTGACATGTGGCTGCAGGAGGTGGGGATTGAACCCCCGACCCTCCATTTGAGAGACGACCAACTCTACCAACTGAGCCACAGCCGCCCAAAAATAATTATTTTTGATTTTAGACATCTGTGGTTTCTTTTAATGGATGAAAACATTTCACACTTTTTTATTGAACAGTTTATTTATTCTGAGTAAAGACAAACCTGTACACAAATACAACCCCAGAGAAAACGTCCAGCACAGACCGTTAGCATCATGTTCCTCACATGTGCTCACAGATTAGTCGTCTCTAACTGCGCTGACCGCACACCACTCTGAGCCCGTCAGCAGCGAGGCTTCTCCTCCTGGCCGTTGGTATTGATGAAGAGTCTCTTGAGGAAGAGGAGCTGCAGGTACCCGGAAGTGACGATGAGGACGCTGAGGGCCATCGACCACCAGCTGATGTACTGCGAGTTGGACTGAAGCAGGTAGTAGTCGGCGCTCTTCCTCATGCGGCCGAAGCTGTAGAAGCGAAACATGTGGAAGACGAAGTTCTCCACTTTGTGACTCGACCTCTGCAGAAGCAAAACACACAAATATCTTAACAATCACAGATACTGCTCCTACTGCGGTTATTTCTTCAATAAAAAAAGATGCAACACGTACTACTGTAACTGTAATTACTAAAATATTACTAAAATATTACTATTTAAGCAGCCGGTTACATCACAGAGATAGATACATTTTAGTCATTCCTGATCAGATGCAACAAAATTTAGGTTAGAGACACACCAGACGACGACCAAATCTTAACCGATTTTAAAAACGTGAGAGACCACAGACTCATGGACAGATTCAACAAATTTCTAAGGGGTCTTGGTAGCCTAATGGTTATGTCACCTGCCCCGTGTACAGAGGCTACAGTCCTCAGCTGCAGGTTCAAATCTGCACTCGGCCCTTTGCTGCATATCCCCGCTCTCCACTCCCTAAATCTCCTTCAGCTGTCCTATCCTGCTGCGTTCTCCCATGCCGTCTCTTGTTCTCCTTTTAACTTTTCTCAACATCAGAAGGCAATGACGTTCAGGGAGAAGGTTTGGTTTAAGATTACAAAATTTACATTTTTATTTAACTAAAGTGAATGTTATGTCCTCTGAAGTGATAGAAACATGACTGTGTGTGTACCTCTATAACGCTCAGTGTGTTGTTCAGCTCCTTGCTGCCCTCCTCTTTCTTCTTCTTCTCTTCCTCCTGCTGCTTGGCGGGGTCCTGGAAGCCGTCGTAGTAAACGCCGAAGCTGAGGAACACCTGCATGGTGCCGAAGCGGTTGTGGAAGTTGCTGAAACACATCTGATAGAAACCTGCAAAGACGCACAGCGAGACAGAAACACTCAGGACACATCGTTTAATATAAAAGAGGCGACACGCATTTGAATCTAAAACTGCAGCGCTGAGAGTTGTTGGGATTTGTTTTTCTCCTTCAAAATAAAATACAGACTTCTCCTAAAGTAAAGCTGCTCCATCGTCCCTTCTGGGTCTCCATACATGTGTGGTGGTGACTGGCTGACTGGACTTTACTGTTCTGCTTTGCTCTGGTTGACTCGGGACGTTTCTGGGCGGAGCTGGTGTGTTTCCTCCAGCCAATGAGAGCGCAGCAGGTGAGTTTAGGAGTGGATACAATTCAGTGATTGGACACGATTCAAACTGGTGAATATGACGGACGAGGACGTAGCAGCAAAGAAGAGAAAATATAATCACAGTGAAGAGAAACACCAAGTGGATAAAGCTCGCTCTAAAACGAGGGTGAACCTTGTGTTGTCTTTTACCCGTGGACGTGGAGTTGATCTACTTCCTGTTGGACAGGCAGGTGACAAACACCAGCGGTTAGCTTGTGCTAGCGTGCGTTAGCTTGCAGTGTAGCTACAAGCAGTAAACGTACACACTACGTCCTGCAGTTGGTGAGAGCTTCTGGGAGTGAAAAGGGAGGAAGGAAAGAAGGACGGAAAGACGGTAAGAAAGGACAGACAGACAGACAGGTACCTGTCTCTTTGGCTTCAAAGTTGATCTGACCCTTTGCATCATCCACGGTGGACACCATCAGACCGCTTGGAGCGTTCACGCTGACGGACAAGTGTCTGTCATGGCCGACTCCGGTAACCCACTGGACCTGCAGACAGACAGACAGACAGACAGACAAAGAGAGCTCAAATTCCAAACATATTAACACCTTATATTTACCTGTGGGAACTGTGTCTGTGTTTTGTGATTTTTATGATATGTTAACTCTACTTTGAATATTATAAGGGCTGTTAGCATTAACGAGTTAATCACATTAATCTCATGCTATTTTGTCCCTTCAGGCTCTCTGTAGATAGTTGTCCTCAGTGTCTCCCTGTAGTCTCAGAGATGTAAAAGAAGGACACTGCTGTATATTTGAATCTCTCATTTCACTTTAACAAACTCTGCAGAATAATGGAATTTCAAACATGCGATCAAAAATTTAAATCGCGGTTAAAACGCACAGTATTTAAATTCTGCCACTAGGGGGTTCCCAATCAAATCAAAAACAAAAGACAACGTCCAACCTGACAGGGAAAAATGGGAGTGATTGTCTCTGCTACTCCAACCCCCCACCCCTTGATGAATGTGTTGACCGTTAATCAAGGCGAACAGGTGAAACCAACCTGAGGTGATTTAAGCACTCAACAAATATGTTTATTTTTAAAATTTATTTAGATATTTTAGTGTAGAAATTCTACTACAGCTTTAACTGTTGAAATTTTGCGATTAATCGTGATAAAAGATTGTAATCCTTTGACAGCCCTCATAATAATATATGAAGTTCTGTGTGAAATGCAGCCAGACGAACATCAAGTGAACTACAAAGAGCTCAAGATGTAATCTCTCAATCAGCTCCTCGCCGAGTTTCAGTATAAAAACGCTTGAACTAAGATTGGGTTATTGAACGATTTCACTGTATATGAATCTCTCCTCGTCGACATCTTGAATAAAGACTCAAATGTTGTGATGTTTGATGACACGTGTGGCGGCCGGACGGTTTCTCCTCACCATGAAGTTCAGGTAGAAAGTTTCTCCGTGGTGAGCAAAGTGCCAGAAACACTCCAACCCCGAGGCGGGAAGCACCACGGCGAAGTCGTACTGGTCGGCCCCCCAGAACAGCTCCTGGTCCGTGATGTTGGGATGGGGGTCCGTCAGGGGCCCGCCGTGAACCAGACCCCCCAAAGTAAGAATGAGAAAGAAGCAGGCACTCCTCCAAAACATGTCTGAACAAACGCAGAGAGCTTCTCTAAATGAAAGGAGTCGTTTCTGTGTAGAAATCAGAAATGATTAACCGGCTCCAAAACGCCGCCTGAGTCTGTGGGAAAGCTGGTCTGTCCTCACAGGTGGACTCGCTGTGATAACTAGAAACAACCTCACTCCGCAGAAAACAACTCAAAGAAGGATTAAAAGTGAAGAGTCCAATCTGTCAGTTTGATGGTTAAAAGGATCACACTCGTGTTGTAGGTCTTGGGACCTCTTTTGAAGATCTCGTCTCAGAGTCTAAAGCATTTATACTCGGTCTTGTCTCGGTCTCAGACTGGGTGGACTTCAGATTTTTATTCAAGACCTGTCAAGACCACCACTGATTTGCTATTTTTCCACATCATTACTGTGATTAGAAAAACAAATAACTTTAATTCATTTGTAGGTTGATTTTTACGGACGCAACCTTGCCGGTGTTACGGTCTAATTGAGGGACACGCCCCCTAAACACAAGATGATGATTTGTCAGATATATTTATGGTCTTGAGCTCTCTGGTCTCGGTTACTGTAATCCTGACTACAACACTAGCTCATACAACAACTTTGAGGCTGAATATGTAGTGTTGCTGCAGCTAAATAGAAAAATTAGCTAAAAAATGTTAGGTAGTTGTTCTAACACTAATATGTGTCGCTACTCCGTCTACAAACCCCCCAATGATGAGAAAAGTCCATCCTCTCCGTCTTTCGCCTGCTCCACTTTTCAGAAAATGTGTGCTCAAACAGGCCGTTTGGAGATTTTCCCTTCATGACATCACAAAGGGCAGTAGCCCCTCCCCCAGGTGGGTGACACTCCCACAGCTAGGTTTTTGTTCTTCCCTCTGAGTCTGCCTTCTCACCATAAACAATAGGACATGGAGCAAGAAAGCCCGAGTACACCCGAGACCTTCCAGGGAGGGGGCGTGGTCAGACACAGAAACAGCCTGTTCTGAACAGAGCTGAACTAGAGGGGTTTATAGGCATGATCAAATACAGGATCAGGGTGGATTTAGAAGAAGGTTGAAGAGGAGGGAAATATGTGACTGACACAAATAAGAGATACACTTTTATTTGTTTGCACAGGAAACTTTGGAACAAATAACGTCAGAAAGAAATCTTTTATTCAAACATTCATTTGGACGTTGCAGCTTGTCAAATCAGATCAACTTCTACAGACATGAACACATTTAGATACAGCAGCAGGGTCCAGACGTGTGAGAAAACAAAAGATATGATGTTAAATATGTTTCTGACTTCTGTGATTTCAGACACCGCTCTAGAGAATCTTGATGAGCAAATATAAACACATTTAGAGTTTAGAGTCTGGATCTGTTGTCACCCTGATTCATGATTTTCTACGCATTGAACAGCTTCAACAACAGACATGTTTATGTGGAGTGACTCGGAGTAGTTTGGCGTCTGGACTCTGAGTTTCTTTAAGATGGTAAAAAAAAAAAAATCATCCTGCATGTTAGGACTTGTCAGAAAATCAGAAAGCCTGTTGTCTGGACTCAGTCATGACCCAGACTCTCTCACAGCGGGGTTAATCTCCCTCCTCCATGAACTGAGTCTCTCCTGCTGCTTCCAGATCCTTCAGATCAGTACCAGGTCCCAGTTTGACGACCTGTTAGCTTGAATCAGTGCCAGGTCCCAGTCTGATGACTTGGATCAGTACCATGTCATATAATGTTTAAAATAAAAGTATTTCTGAGCCCAATGATTAAACAAGTCTTTAAAAAGTCTGGATTTAAAAGTTCTTCAGATATTGTTGCTCCAGCTCTTTTATTTTAATCCTGTTGTATGATTTGCTGAATCCGTATTCCCCTGTGAGGATTGTCGTCTTTGCTTTGACTGTTAGCGGTATCACTCCGTATGAACTCTTTGCTCCCCCTTTGGTCAGAACACACCTGAAGAGAAGAACACCTGGCACCTCGCTCCAGGTCACTGCAGCAGAGTTCGGTTTCTCCAGCGGCTCAGAATCAAACCTTCCGTTTAGAGAGAGAGACCGCCGAGGAGACGGTCACTGTGCAGCACGCCTCACTGTGGGACGATTTGAGTGACATCTCCTCACACGGAGAACTCAGCCCCGCCCTTCCAGGTGCGTTTCGGTAGAAGGGTTGGTAGTTTGAGTCCAGCGAAGGGGCTGATCCACAGCAGAGAGGGCTGACCTCCGAACACAGACCTAAGCCCCGCCCACCGAGTCTGACGCTCCCATGTCGGTTTCTCGTTCTTCAGACGCTCGATCTCCTGCAACAGACACATGGCCTGGTCACACACACGGCCTCAGACCACACAGGTTAATAGTCTAAACAAAGGGAGCGTGCGTGTGAGTCCTCACCGTCTCGTCGTTGCAGATGGAGTGGAGCTGCGTGCTGAACATGACGGCTGTGAAGGTGAGGAAGAGGAGCGCCTCCATGCAGAGGAAGATCATCAGCAGCATGGTCACCGGGGGAGAGAAATCACTGCACTCTGCACGGAAACAAAAAACAACACAAACACTTTTTTTAAACCACAGACATTACAAAGTTTGAAGCTTTGCTCTTATGTTAGAGACGGACGGCGTTCCTTAACAGATCCCTCGGACGCTTCCCCTTTAAAGGTCCCTCGAGTGACCACACAGCGTTCTGTTATTATGCCCATGAACTGTGGAACTCGCTGCTCTCTGGGTCCTTTTGGAAATTAAACAGAAGACCGTTTTAATCTAGCTTTTAACTTAAAGGGCGTTTTCACAATTGTTTCATACTGTCCCCGAGCACGATTGCTCCCCTCCCCCCGCTGGTCTGCGTTCACATTAATAACATATAACGTATGCACATAGTTTGTCTGAAAATCTGCCAAGAAGTAAAATAAGTAACCATGGCAACCACTCGCCGACTGAGTCCATCCTGCTAACTACTATAACTGTGGATGTTTGTGTTATTTCTGGGAAGCCAACAACGGCCTTCTTCCTACCTCCACATCTACCGTGCAGCTCAGAGGATGGAACGGGCCATGCTGCTTAGACTCACGCCATATAGCGGTCCACTGCCTTGTTTGAGCACGGTTGCGTTCACATCTAAAGCGGATCGTACTCGAGGACACACGAATCGTGCCTGAGACCAACTCTTCAAGAGGACTCGGGCCCAGTACCCGAGTACGGTACGTTTGTGTTCACACTGATCAAATGATCCGGACTTTGGGGTCAAGCGTACCTGGTTTCCGACCCGGATCCCTGATGTGAAAGCAGCCTTTATAATTTTTCTGTTTATTGTTTAAAATTTCTTTTTTTTTTTTACTTCCTGTGTATCTTTTTTGTGAAGCACTTTGGGCTGCGTGCTTTTCTGTTTGAAACATGCTTCATGAGTAACGTTGAGTTAGGACTCACGTCCCCACTGGACTCTGATGCAGGTGACGAACTGGTATCCACAGAGCGCCAGAGCGTGACCGGAGATCATAGAGATGTACATCTGCAGACAGAAGAGAGAGTGTCACATAGCCTTCAGCTAATGCTTAAAAAAACAAACAAAAACAGTTTGAGATGTTTATGATACCAAACGGGAGAAATTAAACAGTTTAAGATGCATGTAAGGACTGCAGTACCAATTTTAAACACTAGGGGTCAGAGTTACATACTGCTCCTTTAAGTTTTAGTAAATTTCTTCAGCCCGCAGCTTTGAAACATGGATAGTCTAGATCTAAAACCGTTAAGCTAACAGAGACTTGTGGTTCAGCATCTAAGATTCTAACTACAAAATCAGAGCATCAAAACAAAGGTTGTGTCCGAAATCACTCACTCATTCACTCCTCCATACTCACTTTATAGGGAGGTATATGTAGTGGACTATATAGTGTACTCGCTCACTCACCGGCCGCCGGCAGTGAGGTCATTACTGTCGCACAACTAAAACGTTTACACTACTTTTCACAATGCATTGTGGGATACAATATGCACTATATAGGGTAAGACAATGCTTCACTATATGGAGAGTGTTGTGTGATTTCAGACACAGCCACAGTCTAGTCTATTCACACAGATTAGTCACCATCTTCACTTCCTCAATCAGCAGCCCACGGAGACTGAAAGGTTTCCAAGAGTTAGGAAGAATCATCAGAGAGGAAAACATGTGAGAGTCATTCAACAACACGGGAAAATCCCCAAACTGTTGTTTCATTATGAGACAAAAACTAACCACAGCTTCTCAAATCTCCAACAATTAAATGCATCCCCCCTTCACTTCCAAGTAAAACAAAACAAGCTAACTGTAACTAGTTTTTACAAAGTGTATTTCTCTGGTTTTCATCCCGCCGAAGGAGAAACTCACAGTGAAGAGGACGAAGAAGCGCTGGTTCTTCTCCCCGACACAGTTGTTGACCCATGGACAGTGGTGGTCCATCTTACGGATGCAGCGCTTACAGATACTGAAGAAGAAGAAGAAGAAGAAGAAGAAGAAGAGGAAAAGAGAAGTCATGATTATAATCCTACTAACAACAAGGAGGAGAACAATAAGTGGAAAGAGAGGGAGCAGCTTTCTCCTTCAAAATAAAATACAGACTTCTCCTAAAGTGAAGCTGCTCCATCGTCCCTTCTGGGCCTCCATACATGTGTGGTGGTGACTGTGTCTGCAGAGACTCTGTCCTCTGACTGGATTTTACTGTTCTGCTTTGTTCTGGTTGACTCTGGATGTTTCTGGGCGGAGCTGGTGTGTTTCCTCCAGCCAATGAGAGCGCAGCAGGTGAGTTTAGGAGTGGATACAATTCAGTGATAATTCAATTCAATATAATCAGAGTGAGGAGAAACACCAAAGGGATAAAGCTCGCTCTAAAACGAGAGTGAACCTTGTGTTGTCTTTTACCCGTGGACGTGGAGTTGGTCTACTTCCTGTTGGACAGGCAGGTGACAAACACCAGCGGTTAGCTTGTGCTAGGGTGCGTTAGCTTGCAGTGTAGCTACTAGCAGTAAACGAACACACAACATGAGTAAACTAAGATAAGGCAGTTGAGCTTGAAGCTGATCAGAGATTGTGTTTGAACTCTCTGACCTGCAGTGATGAGCCCGCTCCGGCTTGATGCTGCAGCATTTTGGACATTTGTAGATCACCTCGCCCGGCTTCAGCTGCAGACTCTCCAAGTACTTTTTAGTGGCGTTTCCTTTCGGGACAGCTCCCTGAGGAGAGCAGGGAGGAAAAACAGGATTCGGAAAGATTAATATTTGGGCTTATTTGCAGTTTTTCCCACTTTATGTGAAAAATCTGCCCTCCAGACTCCCATTAACTCCCTCGGCCTCCTCACCGGGTCAGTCAGCATGGTGCGGATGTGAGAGGCCAGCGCCAGCACAGCCAGGCTGTTGAAGACCACCCCGTTAACCACGGCGTACCAGAAGCTCCTGGAGGGCAGCAGCATGACGAAGGTGACCACAAAGTCAGCGTAGAAGACCAGCGACCAGGTGATGAAGGCGCACACCATGCCGCAGCAGTCCTGGATGAACCAGAGGGGCTTTGTAGCCCCACTGTGGGAGCACCTCTCCACCACATCCTCCTCTGTGTCCAGCAGGGGGCGCTGCTGCTCCACATCTCTCAGCCTGTGACCTGAAGACATTCTGCACCAAAACAAAGGTCCTTAATATATAAAATATAAAACAGCAACCAATGTTTTGTTAAAGACTGGATTCTCAGAGGGGGATTGTTGCTCTCTGCTTGGCCATCTTTCTTCTCTGAAGATGAAGAAGAATATACCCTTTATTAATCCCACAGGTTTTGTGCCTTGCTCAAGGGCACCTCAGCAGTGCTCAGGAAGTGAACTGACACCTCTTCTGATACCAGACAAATTTCCAGACTTGGTCTGCACTGACACCTGAACAGGCGACCCTCCAGCTGCCAACCCAAGTCCCTTAAGACTGAGCTACTTCCAAAGTGCCTCAGGAAGAGCAAAATGCATCTGTAACTTCTGCCATTATTTAAAAGTCCTGCATGTAATGTGGTGGTCAATGTGCTTTTACAGCTCATGTTTAAAGGACGAAAGGTTACTTTTGATATCAGGTGTTTGACCCTGGAAGAGCAAAGAGTTTAAAGTTTCCTGTTTGTATTTTTAAGTAGCACTACACTGCAGTGGACTTTTATTCACATAGATGGAATAAAGGATAATTACACAAGCTGTATAACTCAAGTCTTCAGTTTTATAACAAACAAACACATCAACTGTGAAGCCATGGCTTAAAAACTACTGAAGAGGGGACGCTACGTCACTGCTTAGTTGAAGTCAGGTTGATTAAAACTCACCTGAAGATTCCTTTCACTTCACCTCCTCTCCTCCAGCGGCTCCATCCTCAAACTCAGTGATTATCCTCTGAGTTACATAACTGTGTGGACAATAAAACACCGATTAGAAGTGACAGATCAAGTATCGTCTAGTACTGGTTTGACTGGGATCATAATACAGATGCTAATGGAAACATTAAACTCACCGCCTGCTGGCCTGACTTTGACACCGATTACCGTCATTAGTAAGAGTCACGACAGATAACTTTAGGAGCAACGCTGACTTTACATCTGTGTGTTGGTGTGTCACACTAAGCTAGCTAACCTATAAATTAGCATAACAAACCTAGCCCCCACTACGCCTACGTAAAGCTTTTACTGCTTTCCCCTTCAGACTATTTCTCAAACTAAAATTAAGTATGATTCCATATATAACGACGGCACAACGTAAGAAGTACAATAGAATGACACAATTCAGTTGATAAAGCTTGTCATTTGAAGTTAGCCATACTAAGCTAACTTGGATAGGTGTATCGGATTAAAGAGTGACCGTGTTACCTGGCGACTTCCGGGCGAGTCCGCCTGTGTGGTTGTCGTAGTAACAACAGCCGTTAAAAACGGAGAAGCCTTAGCGAATTTCTCTTAGTTTTGTTTTTCATTACAGACATATCGTATCATTATATTTTGACATTATTTTTATTATTTTTTTATTATTTTTAATAAACTAAACTAAACAAAGATGCGTTGGCGAGGATTATTTTCAGTCATCCACAGACGCATTCAGTCGGTGTTATGTCGATAAACGCCTTCCGAGAAATTACATGCACCTAGCAGGACAATGCAAATTATGGAACACACAATATCTCTGCTGAATTTTGCTTTTACCCATAAATATTTACAATCTATGTTCCACCCTTAAAGTTCATCTACAGACACTTCACAGTCAAACACTGTTTGCAGCTCATATTTACGCAGGAACAATGTAAACGCCTCCTCTACTTGAGGCTCAATAAGGACACTTAACGCTTACTAAGTATTCACTTTAGATACCTTTAAATTCATCACATGCCCCCCGAAATAAGACGGTTTTAACACTGTTCCGAGAGGTGCATGCAATTCTCGGCAGGCATGCGTTTATCGGCACAACACCGGAAGTCACCAGTTGACACGGTAACTCGTTAAACTGGTACACCGGTTAGCATTTAATGTCATGTCTTCAGCTTATGTTTTTAATTATTTTAATGTGCACATTTAGAAAATAATACGTAAACAATGCTCGTGTTTACCGCTGCTACACGACACACGTTGTACGTGCCCTTTTAATACAAACAGAATCTAAAAAACTGCGTTAAAGCAACAAAACAGAAATATAGCCTAGCATTTTTAAACGCTGAACTATTGACGATTTATTTTCCCAAAGCATTTGTTAAGTATTTTAACCTCCTCAACTCACCTCATGGAAAACAACCACGAATAATTCCCATATGCGATATTTTATCATAAATTCCTCCGGTATATTTCCTGTGTTGTGTTTCAGTCTCATCCAATCAGGTGGGAGATCAGTCCGGAAGTTTTTGGGAGCAACTGTGGGCAAAATCTCTAACAGAGAGGAAGATAAGCAACTAATGTTTATAAATCAGAGCAGTTAGTCTTTATTTTTACTATTAAAGAACACTTCACTTTCTGAAGAAGAAGAATGGTATAACATTTTCCAATCTAGTAGATAAATGTGCACTCAAATTGACATCTCTTCTCTCTCCACCTGTTCTTTCTTGTGAATTGTATTTGTTTATAAACTGTATTTAATGTGTTGATGCTTGTCTGTATACAGATGTTGATTTCTTGATTCCTGTTCGAAGCCACTCATGTTACGTCATTTCTGTCTCTGTATTTGGATGTAATGACTTGTCAGTATAAATAAAGTTAAAAAAAATGTCTTCATCTCTTATTTAAGGAGTCCCTGAAGTCAAATAAAGATAAAAATATACATATATAACTTGTGCACACAAAATAACAGCATTCAAGAGGGCACTTGCAGCGTTTCCTATGGATGCATGTCCTCTTAGGGCTTCCGTAGCGCTGCACAAATAACCAAATTAATGTTTTTGAAGCTTCTTTAGTGTAAAAAAAGAAGCACAGTGAAGACTCAGAATTAGTCTCAATGACAGGTTTATTATTGGTTATTTAGGTGAGAATTAAATAAGGCACATTCACATCATCGTTACACATTCAACCTAAAATAAAAACAGTGGTACAAAAATAATTAAGACTTCTGATCGGGGGTTTGACATCTTTCTCTATCGGCTTTAAATTAGACACTGAGACACAAAGAGGCTGCTCTCCTAAAAACTACGCGAGTGTGTTTGTGCGCCGACGTGAATCAAAGGAGTTCAGAAACAAACGGACATAAGACAGAGACCAAAACTCACAGAAACACAGAAAAGGAACCGAAAGGTTGTCTTCAGTCAAACACACAGAAAGTGGTGTGGACATGAGTACTGCAGCTGTTTCATTAAGTTTACACTGACTGTCTTCTATTGCGAAAATGACTGCGCTTGCTATCTTGTGAACATAAAATCATTTCTTGTTTGACATCACTGCTGACAAGTTGAAAAAACACACTAACTGTTTATAGATCGATGCACCTGCAGACAAACGAGGAGGAAATCAACCTGACTTCAAACCTGTGATAGCGGCTCGATCTGTTTTCAACATGACATTAAAGTTGACATATCCTCCTCCTCTTCTTCCAGTTTAAATAAGTCTCAGAGCTCCTCAAAACATGTGTGTGAAGTTTCTTGTTCTAAATCCACTCTGATCCTGTATTTGATCATGCTTATAAACCCCTCTATTTCAGCCCTGCTCAGAACAGGCTGTTTCTGTGTCTGTACCTTTAAATGTAAATGAGCTGTGTCTGACCACGCCCCTCTCTGGAAGGGCTTGGGTGTCTCAGGCTTTCTTGCAACTCTGAGAACACACAACACACCGGCATCACCTCCGTCATTAATAAAATAAAATCATCCGTGCTTGACAGATCTATGTTAACAGATGTGTCAATCATATTTTAACACACAAAATGAACTTCTAGTATTCAAGTAAAACAAAGAAGAAACTGAAAATCAAAGCTACAGTCTAGTAGCTTAAAACAAAAACATTCATGCAGCATTTCACTCAAAGGTCAACAGTTTGAATCCCTTTTTTGTTCTTGTGAAGCTGTGAAGAAGAAAGTGCTTTAAACTCAGGCGACAGGACGAGGACACTTCTCAGACTGCTGGTTCAAACATTTGTTTCTTCTTGGCATTCAGACTGATTTTAAAAAAGGGGTGTGAAGGACATCAGAACATTTTAATGAAAGGACTCGAGCGCTCCGCTGCACATCTTCACTTCTAGCTGTCACACATTTCACCTTCTTCAGAAGCTGTCTCTTCTGTCGTTTGGACAGAGAGCTCTTCAAAATTATAGAGTTGACAATCATTTTAAATATTTCTGCAGGTCTTCTGCAACATCTACGTTTATTTCCTTTTGTCCCTGCAGCGGTTCAAAGCAGCCGAAAGGACGTTTCTGTTTGGTTTTGCTTAAATTCATCAGCAATTCATTCTTCATTTTTCAGTTTAGCACCAAATAAAAGCCTTGGGCTGTGTCTGAAATCACTCCCTATCCACTATATAGTGGACACGCCATTTTGTAGTGCTGTCCGAATTCTGAGTAAGCATAGTCATACCCTATACAGTCCACTCAATGTATCCCACAATGCATTTTGAAAAGTAGTGTATGAGCGATGGTCACTATGCAAGCAATATATACCATCATGCACTGCGGTTCAAAAGATTTTTACGAGCGGAGAGTGGCGTTTGACTCGGCTGCTCTCAAACGGACGAGAGGAGCGACCAGCATGAACACAGAAACTCAATAAATTTCATATTCAGAGCGTTTTACTGAAATCTATGATCAGTTTTAATAAAGATTAAGAGATCGTCAACTTCAGTGATGTTAGTTTGTCCTAATGATGACGACAGACGAGAAACCAGAGTCTGTGAGCATAAATAATTTAGTTTTGGTCCAAAAATATGTCTCATTATGTAAAATTCTATATTTTTATTCAATATATAAGTACTTATTATTTGTAAATGTTTCATGAAAATACACTCAGTATAATATGAGTTATCACGGAAATTCATGCTGTTATTTACCGTTGTTATTGATCCTCGGCCGTTGTTAAGCTGCGCGTTTCAGTTGCGTGACAACAATGACGTCACTGTCAGCGGCCGGCGAGTGAGCGAGTAGTGTCCGAAATGTTTTTTAATTTTGCTGAGTGAGTGCACTGTATAGTCCACTGCATTAAACTCTCTATATAGTGAATAGGGAGTAGGGAATGAGTGAGTGATTTCGGACACAGCCTTAGTGTATCTCAAGTTTTAAAGATTCACTTTATCGGATTCTTTCCATCAGCCAGACATTCATAACATTTCCAGCCGTCAGATTTTGTTTGTTTGATTTAAAAAAAAGGATCTAAAGGGAACATTTAAGTCAGCTTCAGGGAGAAAGAGTTAGCTAAAGGTCAGCCTTCTACCCTCCGAGAGACTAAAATTAAAAACAATCCTCCTTAAAGGTCCAATCAGTGAGATACAGTAAGAATGAAGCGTCAGTGTCCACCACATGACAACCTGCATGAGCATGGACTCTAGAGAGGGGGGGGGGGACAGCTCTCTATAATGTTTAGCATTTGGACTGCAGTACCCATTTTAAACACTAGGGGTCAGAGTTACATACTGCTCCTTTAATTATATAACAGATTTTAACGATGGTTTTGTTTTATAGAAATGGAGGAAGCTGAGGGACGCTGAATCTAAACAAGAGCTAGCAGCAGCTCCTCCTGACGTCTCGTTTCGACCAAAGATCAGTGAGGAAACACCGACTTTTAACGTACAGCTGTTTTATCTGTCTCTATCACTGAATCTGTCTGCTCTGACTCTCCTGTTTCTGCATCAGTGTGTGACGATGGACCTAGAAATTAAAAGTACGCGACTCGAGTGAACAATTGTAAGTGGAGTCAACGTCCTCTCAACTGATGGTGTTGATTGTAGAATTTGAGGTGGTGGGTTTTACTTAAAGAGAAAAGAATCGCTCACAAGCTTCTGAACCTGCCTTCTTGTGTTTGAAGTCGTTGAAATGTTAAAATCGATTCGTCAGTCCCAGTGATTGTGACCTTTAGGTGTATTTTCTCCCAGAGATGTAGCTTCAGTGTTTATCAGCTCGGTACTTGCAGCTGGAGTGCTACATCAGAGAGCTGATCTAAACGTGTGTGTGCTTTTTTTTCAACAACAGGAACATATCTGGAATTTACAGAAATGTGTTTGAGACAAGTACAAAGAGCTAACAAGAGGGGAAGGGTTGGTTTTGATTTTGCATTTCAGGAATAAAGTAGAAATGTTCAGACGAAAGCTGAAATGTTGGAAAGAATGTGTCAAAAATCAAATCTAAATGAGTCCAGATATCAAGAAGGAGGGAAAAACTAAAGGATGGTTACTGGAGTCCAAATTCAAAACATTGGAGAGCACCATCTCCCACCGCCAGCGATGGAAGCGGGCAAGAGAACTGGTTCAGATAGAAGTGATTGTACTCGACCTAAAAAGCCTCTGCATGTTTCTAATAAGCTCCACGAGCAGAAACGTGCTCAAACTAGGATCAATATTGGAGATGCTTTTGAAAAATGGAGAGAAGTTAGAACACAGAAAGGTTTACAGACCAATGCGGGGGGGAGACAGCTCTCTACAATGTTTAGAGTTCAGACTGCGGTACCCATTTTAAACACTAGGTGTCAGAGTTACATACTGCTCCTTTAAGAAGAAAAATAGAGAAAACTATGAATTTGGTTGAAATGTTGAAACGGAAGTCAAAATGTTGTTCATAAAGTGGAAAATAAATTGGAAATGTGGAGAATGAAATGTAAATAAATATTTATTAATACATTTGATTAATTAAGAATGAAGTAAGAATCATAAAAGAAAAGTCAAAATGTCTGGATTAGGAGATGTCCTGAAATAAAAGCGATGAAATTATCAAAAGTTATGTTTGAATATCGGGAAGTGTAAACTTTCAAAAAATGCTGTCTTGGATTTATTTTTTGACCTCAAAGTTTCACTTCCTCCTTGAAATGCAAAATGAAAAAGTCTTTCCCCATTTTCTATTTCTCTCTACCACCAGAACTCTTCAGATGTTTGAGTGACGTCTAACACTGAGGGACGGTGACATCTACATTTTGTTTTACTAGTTCAGATTAATAATCCGTTCTCGTCTCACAACATTTCCATCTCAGTGGATCCTCCGTAGTTCGTCTCTCCGGTTTGGTTGGTGTCTCTCTGGTGGCCTTCGTCCGTCTGGATCGTGGAGCTGGAGTCCCCGTCCTCGCTCTCCGACTGAAACGCCTCGTTTTCTGTGCCCGTCTGGTCTTTGGGTAACTCCAACTTCCCGTTCAGACCCGGGCCGTAGGTGTCAGGCGGCTCTGTGGGGTCGTTGGACTCGGAGTGGTTGGCGGAGGTGTGTGTGGGGAAGGATTCAGGCGAGTGTGACGGAGCGTTGGAGGACGCAGAGGGTGAGGTCTCGCTGCAGTTAGAGTCAGAGGAGTGTGCGTCGCCGTTGTCGGGCTGTTTTTTAGGTCTGTACGTTGGTACTCCGGATGTTTTGAGGGGGTGTTTGGGCCGATTCTGCTCCGCTGCGTGTTCACCTGAGTCCAGGGTGTGCCAGCGACCCAGGTGACTCAGAGGAGGTCCTGCAGTGAGGTTCACAGAGGGGCTGCTGACCTCCACCGTCTCCCCTCGCCTCAGCCTCCTCCTCTCTGGATTCACCTAAAGAAGAAAGAGAATCAACATCAGGTAACAAACTGCAGACTCAAGAATTAAAAAGTCAAATATAGTCAACAACAATTTGCAATAAGTCTGCTACATTTACCCCGAACAGACAAACTGTACCTGGTTTGTGTTTGTGGAAGACCTGGGAGGAGTACCAGAGGAACCTTTCTTTATCTGCTGCATCCTGAATCACAGCAAACACAGTCAATACAAATCATTTAAACAAAAAACAACTTCTTATATCTGACGTTTTGGACAGTTGGAGCTGGCTGAGAGGACACCTGCTGATGGACTGAGCCAGCTTCTGTCTCCTGCCGTTAGCGTGATCCTGCAGCCGCAGACGCTGGACGAACGAATGAGCTGTAGAGACAACATGAGAGACGGGATTCAAACAAAGCTAAAAAAAAAAAAAAAATGGAGAAAACTTTGAAAGTTTGAAAGTTTGGGACACATGGACAGATAGTTACCCAGAGCTCCTTTGGGCACGGAGAGGAGTTTGATGGGCTCAGCGTCGGGAGAAAGTCCGGATGCTTTCTGCAGCGCTCTCAGGATCTCCGTGTTCTGCAGGAGAAGAAGAGTTCAGAGGTTGAGTGGATTCCTCGTATGGCGGCTGCTGATCTTTTTGGGCTCATTTTTGCCTCCATTGGAGAGGACAGCTGAAGAAAGGCGGGAAACGTTGGGAGGAGAGAGTGGGGGGATGACATGCAGCAATGGGGGCCACGTTTGGATTTAAACCCACGGTCGCCGCGACTATGACCACTGCCTCTGCACGTGGGGCTCGCAACATTACCGCTAGGCCATCCGGCACATCCTCTTTATTTCTTCTTTAGCTCTTTTCTATCTCAAGCACATATACTGTACAGATGATGAAAAGGGTTAATAGTGTCCAAACAAATCTAACTTACTCGCAGCATATCGTGTTCTTTAACCAAAACTGAAGTGAAGTTTTTACAAAGATTCAAGCTCGATTTAAACCCCAAACACTCAACTTCATGCAAGAACATTTCTTTATTATTGTTATCTTATAAATCGGTCAGAATTCTGCCTTTGAGGTTTGTTCACACGAGTTTTTGGAGCCAGATTTGCAAATTATTTTGCAGTGCAGAAACAATCGTCTTTTTGTTTCAGCCGTATGGATGTTGTTGCAGTGATATTTTTAAGGACAAATCCTTTGGGATGAGTTCTTGCATGAAGCAGAATGTGTCTCCTTGCTCTGCACTGCTGACACGTCACACAGTTTCAGCGTCCTCATCCTCCAAAAAGTCATTTTTGAGTGTGATCACAGGTTAGGCTCAACAGCTTTGTGAAGGTTTGTGAGATGTGAGAATGTCAGAGTGGCGAGCGGTGAGTTCTACCTTCCCGCCCAGTTCGTAGGCACAGTCCAGCGGCGTCCTCTGTCTCTTGTTCCTGATGCTGGGGGAGGCTCCGCCCCTCAGCAGCAGCTCCACCAGCGCCTGGTGTCCGCCGCGCACCGCCTCATGGAGGGCTGTGTTCCCCTGAAGGTTCACCACGTTCACCAACGCATTACTCTGCACAGAAAGGACAAAAACACAGTACGTTTTTTATTTTATGTAACTTCCTGATTTCCTTCACAACACTTCAGTACTCTGCTTTGTCCTCCTCACCATCCGTCTACCAGCCGGCGTTTACTTTACTGAGGACAGATTTTACCCTCAGACTGTTAAGAGAAGAAACATGCATCTCCACATGTGATGATACTGAAACTTTCTGTGATGTTGTCGGGCACTAAAATAACAATCTGAGAGGAAGTCCTTTGATTTCACCAGCAGGTATAATGTTGCAGCCTCAACTTCCAAACTTTTTGAATGCCACGAGTTGGCTATTTGTCAAAAACAAGCAAACAAAGAAATCTTATGGTTAACAAAAACAGGCAAGAAGAAGTTCAATGTGGGGTTCCAGTTGCCAAGTGGTTAGGAAGCCCCAAATTGGACCCGTGGCTCTTTTCCTGCACGTCATTCACCACTCTCTCTGTCCCTGATTTCTGACTCTATCCACTGTCCTGTCTTTAAAATAAAGGCATAAAAGCCACAAAACAAGTCTTAAAAAAAGACGTCCAGTTGAGAATGACTTTTCTTCATTTAATTCAGATCATCCAAACGTACAAACATTTCATGCTGCATCTCATTGATCTGGTAAAAAACCTGGTGTCCCCTTCCTGATGTGTGATCTCACAGTGACACACCTGTAACCTCTAAATGGTTCCCCCCAGTGCTTCATCAGGTGCTTATTGCTCCCTGGTGTTTACAAAGACAACTAAAAACAAGATGAAATATCTCCTACAGCACAAAGAATGTGAAGAAAGGACCCAGGCCCCTTAACTTAAAGGGTGTTGAATCATTTGTTCAGGCTCGAGGCGCTTCAGATGAACATGACCTGCAGCGTTTTACCTGCAGCAGGATGGTGGCCGACTCCACGTTCCCACAGAGACAGGCGTGTATCAGAGGAGTGTTGCCATAGTGATCCTTCTTGTTCAGTTTGGCGTTACACTCCAGCAGAATCCTCACGACCTTAACAGAACCAGATTACACACAGTCAAGCACAATAACACACAAAATGAATCACTGAGGCAGAGAACGTTCTCGACTGCAGGACAGGTTTTAAGTTTTCACCAAAAACTTCAAGAACATTAATTCCCAAGTCTCAAACCAAAAGAGTAAATCCATCTCACAACCTTCCTGGGGCTCGCAGAGTTTCACTAATTGATTCATATTGAAAAAATAACTGTACAGACCGCTCGCCAATTGCTTGGTGAGTGGACGTCTTTATGACGTAATTCTAAACGAGCCCTGTTGCTTCAAAAGCGTCGTATCCGTGCAGCACGGGGCGGCTTCATCCTCTGAGCTGCACGGTTCAGATGTTTAAGTAGGCAGAGGGTCGTGGTTGGTGTCATTTTTCTGCACTGTTGTGTTTCTGCCACAAGATGGTGGTAGTGAGAAGCTTAAACACATTCCCTGCCCACGCCGCTCCCCTCCTACCTGGATGTGGCTGTTCTGCGTGGCCAGGTGCAGCGGGGTGGCGCTCTGGTTGGTGCGTGCGTTGACGTTGGCTCCGTGTCGGATCAGCAGACCGGTGAGCCCAGCGTGGCCGTGCAGAGTGGCGACGTGGAGCGGCGTGAAACCGTCGACGTTAGAGCTGTTGACACTGAGCGCCCCGGCCTGCAGGACGCACAGCTGCAACACACACGCACGGAGAACAGAAACAGATTATACATCGCTGCTTTTGAAAGTTTTATCTGTATAGTTTATCGTTAGCAATCGAGATTAAAAGATCAAATATTTCCTTTTTCCAAATTCAGTGAGACAGACCTGCTGAGTGGGAGCGCAGTTCGGACACTGACACAGAGGATGGCAGAGAAGAACCTCGGACCGCAGCTCTCCTTCGTCTTCCTCCTCCTCATCCATCCACTCCAACAGGTAACGCACCTGAAGCAAAACAAACAAACAGGGACGATTCAGTCTGCAGGGCAAGAAGTGCAGCTGGAGAGGTCAGCTAACTCAAAGACCTGGGATAGAGAATTGTCACTCATAGGAAGCCCCGCCCTAAACCCCACCCCTTTTCTTTCTGGTCTCTTGAGCCCCGTTTCCACCAAGCAGTCCGGTTCAGCTCGGTTTGGTAGGCTATGCATTTATTGGCGTTTCAACTTTCAAAAGCTGGGATCAATCTTGCGCCATAATTCACTAAATGAGCTTCATGCTGTCTTGAAGACAACTTCACACTAGAGATTGAGAGCATAAAGTCTTTGGGAAAATGTTTACTGAGGGAACTAATCAAATTATAAGCGGGATCATTTTATCATCACTTTTATCTGTTGTTTTTCAAATCGCCCCCTGCTGGCCATGAGGTAGATCGCAGGTTTAAATAATGACATCTTCTTCTTCAGAGTACAGTTTATTGTTTAGATGGAGAGAAAATGTGACTTTGTGCTCACCATCTCCACGTCGCCGTCTGCCACAGCACGCAGCAGCTTCTCCACCTGAGACACACACACACACACACACACACACACACACACACACACACACACACACACACACACACACACACCACACACACACACACACCACACACACACACACACACACACACACACACACACACACACACACACACACACACACACACACACACACACACACACACACAGTCAGTGGATGGCAGCAGCAGCTGCTTCTGCATCAAAGCTGAAGAACTATTTTAGGGGCCTCTTCTGGAGGTCTGTACTTCAGTTTAAATTACATCTACATTTAGGGAGATTACTTCTTCAGGTATTTCTGTTACTATACCAACACTGAGCTACTAGGTGAGGAGGAATGTAGAGGTTTTTAGGAACTGTTTCTTCTTCACCTCTCTGTGTCGGACACGCTCTGCCTCTGGTTTGACCTCGGAGCTCAGAGAGGAGGTGCTGGAGATGGAGGAGCGGCGGCTGCTGCAGTCGGATGCCTGAGGGGAGCGAGAGGGAGACTGAGAGGAGAGGAGGAAGAGAGAAATGCATCAGGATCTTTTTCCTCAGGGGCTCCACACATAAAATCAACAAGTCTTTCTATACATGCTAGATTTGCAAAATCCATAATCTGTTTATTCCTGAAGAACGGAGAGGTGAACTAATATGAATTCTGCCTCTGTGGCTTTTTGTTGACGTTTATTAAACTATTCTGTGATTAACTGAGTGTGCAGGCTCGACTTCTCTTTCTCGCTGATGCTTCATTTTTACAGTTTGCTTCGTAGAGACAGGAGAGTAGATCAAACTCACATCGAGTCCGCTGCCGCTGCGCTCACATCCGTTCTGAGTCGACCTCAACAACATGAGGATCTGCAAAATAATAAAACATCAAATATATTAAAACACACACAGCAGGGGGATTCTGGAAGATGTTGAAGACATGGATCAGATTATTTCTGATGATCTGACGGATGGTTGTCAGAATGCCAAATTTTTAAATCTTCAATCTAAAAATCAAACATTGTGGATTTCTCATCGAAACAGCAAAAGAAATCCCAGATAACCAATATTTTTTTTTTTCAATTACCAACAAAGTGAAAGTAAAATCTGAAACATTACTGACATATTTGAGCAACTTGGACTGTGCTCTCTCACTCATTCGCTTGCAGCAAATTGTTCTGACACCTAGTGTTTAAAATGGGTACTGCAGTCCAAATTCTAAACATCGTAGAGAGCTGTCTCCCCCCGCCCCCTCCTCTCTAAAGTTGATGCTCACGCAGGTCACTATGTGGTGGACACTGAAGCTTCAGTGTTTAGCCAGCTCTGCATCGGTCTGTAAACCTTTCTGCGTTCTAACCTCTCTCCATTTTTCGAAAGCATCTCCAATATTGATCCTAGTTTGAGCACGTTTCTGCTCGTGGAGCTTATTAGAAACATGCAGAGGCTTTTTAGGATGGGTACAATCAGGAAAGGATCAGAACATGACTTCTTTCTGAGTCTCAAACATTCTGAGACAGTTTGATCTTGTGAGACCCACAGAACATTTTCTGACCTTGGAGTTGAGCGCACACTGCAGCGGCGAGTCTTTGTTCTTGTTGAGGATGTCGGTGCTCGCTCCGTTCTCCAGCAGCACCTGGATGATTCCCTCGTAGCCCCAGCGCGCCGCCATGTGCAGAGCTGTGTCGCCTTTATCGTTCTGCAGGTCCAGGCGGCACGTTTGGAGGTCGTAGTACACCAAGGCCTTCACACACTGACACACAACACGGAGCATGACCAACATCAGAGCCCAGCAGCTTCTAAAAAAAATCTTCTCCTGAGAGTTTTATTCCCTTAGCGATTCATGGAAGAATCACAACAAACCAATCTGGAGAAGCTTCAAGTCTGCTGCTGATCTGTTACTCCAACTGATTTATTAATTTAGAAATCTGATAAAAGTGGAGTTTTTCAAACATCATGGGGATTTTCACACCTCTCTAAACCGTTCCATGATTTCATGGGGTCGGTAAACTCGTGTGAATCTTTAAATATGTTCCTTTTGTTTTGTTTTTAGCACAGAAAACTTGTGAACAAACTTTCTTATTAAAGGTCATCATTGTTATACTAAAGGATCTGTGATGGATAAGTGGTTTTGATAAAGACAAAGTGAGAGTTTGACGTACGTCCTCGTGGCCGTACATGCAGGCGAGGTGCAGCGGGGTGTTCCCGTTGTTGTCCTGAGCCTCTGTGTTCGCCTTGTAGTGCAGCAGCAGCAGCTAGAGGACGGAAAAACTCATTTATCATTCATACTGGAGAACAGGAAACATAGTGCAGCAGGTCCATTAGAGCACAGAGATGGTAGAGGTGGCGTGCAGCGATCACAGAGAATAAACGTCACCACCCCCTGAATTCTCCTGATTATATCCTGCTGCGTTTTCACATCAGCTCACTCTGACTTTCTGCAGAAGAAATACGAGGAGGCTGGAGGAGAAACTCCGGGTGAAGACTGAGAGAAATATTTGGCTCTTGCAGCTCACCGTGAAAACTTCAGCAGTTTTGTGCAGGTGTACAAGCTTAAAAAGCTGTAAAAGATTAGTAACCGGCTGTAAAAGCTGCGATGTAACCTTGGAGACAAATAGGCCCGATCAAAGAACGTCCACTAAAAGTTCTTGTCCATACCACTCTCAGGCAATGCTGACTTTGCATCGGGATTTTATATATTTAAGCTGCCTAAAATTATTTTTCTGTAAAGTGTGTGTGTGTGTTCTATTAACCGTGACTCCCTGGTATCCTCGTTGGCAGGCCAGGTGCAGCGGCGTGAGCGCATGGTAGTCCGTGGCGTTTACCGGCGCTCCTTTACACACCAGCAGGTCGATCAGCTGGGACTGACCTGCCACACACACACGCACACGCACACGCACACACCATGTTAGGTGCCTAGTTATTCAAGAATTATGTATTTCATTGTGTGTGTGATACCAGCCGCTCACCACAGATGGCAGCGACGTGCAGTGGAGTGTAACCGCGGTCGTCTCTGGAGAACGGAGTGACGATGGACGGGTCGTTTAACCGCCTGCAGCGCAGAGCAAACACAAATAAACACTTTAGTCTGCTGCAGTAATGAGAGGGGGAATAAAACCAAACATCATAAATCCTCTTTGATTAGCAGAGCTGTGTCACATGTTGATAGCAGCTTTCTCAGAATGACGACATATTCAAATGCATGATTCTCCTTTGTCCCATGTGAGCCAGCGTAGATTATTTTCAAACGCTTACAGCCATGAAAGAGAAGAACAAGCTGGCCTTAAAGCAGGAAGTGAAAGAGCACACATTGTTTTTTACCTGACTTGAACACTGGAGAAAAAGGGGAATTGAGTTTTAGTGGAAATGAAACTAGAAGTCAGAGTTCCCCCCAAAAAAGAGTATTTGTATACTGCTCAAAATGTTATGTGTGTTTTTGTGTGTATTGATGCTGACCCGGACAGCTGGAGGTCACAGAGGTCACAGGAGCAGAGGGGATGACACATCCTGGCCTCCTCGTTGCTCTCTCCCTCACTCAGCAGACGTTCCACCTCAGATTCGTTCCCATTTGCTATGTGCTACAACACACACACACACACCCACAGTAGAAATTAGGGTCTGAAACATATCAGAAAGTGTCCCCAGTTTGTTAAAATGAGCTCACCTCAAACAGACAGTGGATGGGTGTGGCAGAGCTCTGAGACAGCAGACTCATCCTCTCCTTGAACATGGCTTATCATTCAGCTCACCTGAGCCCTGAGGGGACGGACACATAAAAACATGGATGACACTCAACACTATGAAACTCTGAAGAAGCAGAATCAAAGTTTTCCTCCCGTGACTCACATGGTGTGTGTCCTGCAGCTTCCCCAGGTTGATGTACTCCACGGCTGCCTCGAACGTGCTCAGACAATAACTGAGCTCGTCTTTGCTGGAGTGGCTGAAGCAGAAGTTCCTGATGTAGCTCAGGTTGGCCATCCTGAAGATTAAGAGCATATGAATCAGAGATTAACACAGAGAGAAAACATTTCCTCTAATATTATTATTCCTTTAAATTAAACTGACCGATACAGGCCACATGGAGGCTAAAGGGAACTCCTCGGTTTTAAAATCAGGGTCCTATTTCTCATATTTTGTAGTTTTAATGTCTAAAAAGTTCACATTTGTTTTTTAAATTCTCTACAGTGGACAGCCTTATCCAACAGACGCTGAAGAGGCTATAATGGCTTCAACTGAATCCTTGAAAGACAACGTGCTCCATCAAAGAGCCTACAAAAAGACAGTTAAATTTGCTTGATTCATTGGAAGATATTTTAAGTCTTTACAACTCACATTATTAAGTTATATTAAAGTAATTTAAGATCAAAATCTCACAGTGTTAGAATGCTGGACGTCCAAACTAAAAGTGGGTGAAGTCTCAGATCATGAGGTAAACGTATGTTTGAGTAATTCCAGTAATTAAGTAAAGCCCTGGCAGCCCTGCAGCATTCTGCCCCTCGGTGGGCTTCCAGAGAGCTGGCCAATCAGAAGAAAGTGGGCACTTGGGAGGGAGGGTTTTTGAGCTGCAGATCATGTAAAGCTGCTCTAAAGGTTAAAGTGATGTATAATTAGGGGTGTGGCCTCTTTGAGTGACAGCTGGGAGCAGCTAGCTGTCACATCAGTTAACTCAGACACTTGACCTGACCTCTTTGGTGCTGACCTTCTCATCTAAATACGGTCAGTTCTGACAACACTTCTCTTCGCAGGCTCCAAAAGAACGACAGATCAGCTTTTTCTTGTGTTTCCTTTGAGAAGGCATGGGGTCAAACGTCACAGTGAACCCCCCTCCCAGCTCACCAGTTTGGGATTTCAGTCTTCACCAGCAGATAGAGGATGACAGACAGCAGGTCGTCCGCACACACCGCCTCTATACTGACTGCAGAAGAAGACACACACACACACACACACACACACACACACACACACACACACACACACACACACACACACACACACACACACACACACACACACACACACACACACACACACACACACACACACACACACACACACACACACACACACACACACACACACACACACACACACACACACACACACACACACAGTTAGGTGAAACACAAAACACTCTCCCTGTGTCCGAACCAAATGACTCAACTGGCTGCTTGACAAACAGTAATCAGGAACGGATCGTACCACTCAGAGGACTGTTAGCTGGATGTTGTGGCCCGATAAGTTTAGATTTCCAAAGCAAACAGGACAAACACATTAGAGGCTGACAGAGCGCGTATTGTCCTGTGGGCTGATCTGATTACACACATTGAGAGGACGCTCAGAGATCGTGTAGAGCTCAGGCTGCTCGTCCACAGAGGTTACCGTCTCACTTACATCAAGTATTAGCCACACTTCCTCTCTGATGAGGAGAATCCAGAAGAACTCTTTTATTAATTACACCTGGGCCGTATTCCTTGTCCCTAACTGACTCAATAACTAAAGATTTCTTTAATTCACAGCAATCAGACCGATTTAAAGGAAGCAAAAAGAAAGCAAGACCACTACAAGTTGTTGTTTTTGTCCCTGACAGGCTGGGATTGTTATTCTAAGTGTCTGACGACATCACAGAAAGGATCCCTACAGATGTAAACCTTATTGTTACAGAGGAAAATTATTTTGTTTAACCAGGAACAGATCTTACATCGCTCTCTCTTCAAAGACAAACAGATTCTTCTTGCAGAAAGCTGCTGGTCCACTTATGCCTCAGCTGGTCCGTTGTTTGTTTCTGTTGACTTTGGTATTTTTGATGGTTAGTTTGAATCCAGTAAACTAAATGCATTAAACCCCCCACAAAAATATGTTAAAAAACCCCCCAGAAACAGCTTTTACATCGCTATCCTTATCAAACCTACCTATGAAAATTTGACCTTACAAAACAATCGTGAGTCTTGTCTTTTGCTGCCGTGATTGCTTTATTTTTTGTTTCAGAGCATTGTACAAAAATATTCTTTTGGATCTGATCTAACCATTTAAATCACAAATGACACAAAGAAACCGTACTGACTTAGCTCATGGTAAACCAGCAGTTTGTCTCCTGCAAGGAACAATTCATGTTTTTCTCAAAGGAGTCTGGTGGCTTTAAAGAGAACAAGCTGTTTTCCTCTTTAACAGAAAGCTCTCTCTCTGTAGGAATCCTCTCTGTAATGCTTTCAGAGCTGAGTGTCAGGGACGACTCTCTCTCCTGATTTCAAATTCTATTCACTGTCCTTTCAAACTGAATGCAAACAGACCCAGAAATAAATCTTTAAAATGATCCTGATTGGCTCCTTTGACTAAACAAAGACTGAAATCTGCTCTCAGAGCTGCACTGATCGTCATACACCGCCTGTCGGTTGTTATTCTGAGACATTCACTGTGGGCGTGTTTACCGGTGCGTCTGGGGGTCTGGGTGGCGGTCAGGGCGACTCTGCGGAGGCATAGCAGTTTGAGGAGGGGGGAGGTCTGCTGGTTGAGCTGACTCAGCTCTCTCTTTGCCCGAGACAAGTTTATACTGCAGAGAGACAAGAAATAAAAAACCCATAAGAAGGCTTTAGGTTGAGGATGAATTTAAAGAAGTTCTTACAGTCAGCAGAGAAATAAACAAAGAGAAGTAAAGATATGTCACTGAATGATCCAGAGGATGATCATGTCAGTTTGATAAACATCTTACCACAAGGGCTGATTCCATACTTTAACGCATGATAACAATTAAAGCATATCATCATGATATCAATCAGCTGCTGTGATCCCACGCAGCTCAATAAGATGACAATGTGTGGCTGAACTGACCTGAACTCCGGCTTGACTCCGAGGTCTTTCTGCTGCAGCTCCTGAAGACTGCGGCTGGTTTTGTTGAAGGCAGCATCCTGCAGACGAGACAACGCAAGAACCTCTTCAAAAACACGACCAACATAATTAACCAAAACATCACAAGAGCCCCGGCAACACAAGGACCCAACCACTTAAGGTGACTTCACATTAAGGACCCGGGTACGGATCTAAGAACGCTTGACCTCAAAAGTCTGGATCGTTTGATCAGTGTGAACACAAACGTACTGTAGTCGGGTACCGTGCCCGAGTCCTCTTGAAGAGGAGGTCTCAGGCACGATTCATGTGTACTCGAGTACGGTCCGTGGGAGATGTGAAGGTAACCGTGCTCAAACAAGGAAGTGGACCTCTATATGACGTCATTCTAAACGGCTCCTGTGGCTTCATAAGCCGTCGTATCTGTGCAGCACAAGAACGTTTCATCCTCTGAGCTGCACGGTAGATGTGGAGGTAGGAAGAGGGTCGTTCTTGGCGTCTCAGAAATAACAAAAACATCCACAGTTACCAGGATTGACTTGAGAGTGGTTGCCACGGTTACTCCTTCTTTCTCTGTCTTAACAGATTTGCAAACCAACTGTGTGCATATCGCCACCTCCTGGATCAGACTGAGTACATACACATGAATACTCGGGTATAGAGCGATGTTACTGATGTAAACGCAGACCAGCGAGGGGGAGGGGGAGGGGGGAGATATCGTGGTCGAGCAAGGTTCGAAACAATCGTGCCTGATGTGAAAACGGCCTCAAAAGAATAAAATAAAACAAAAACAAAAAACATGTTTGAAATAATCAATCTGTCGTTCCAGTAGAGAACATTTATCATCAAGACTACAGAATGTGTGGCAGAGTCAGACGTACCTGGCTGGCTTCAAGCGTTCCCACAAAGTTAAAAATTAAATCATGGATACCATGATGGACATACATCTGCAAAGAAAAACACAAACGTTTTAGTTTATTAGAGGCCTTTTAGCTCCTTTTGGACGACCTGGGGTCAAAGTTTTGAAGTTTGATATCTGACTCTATCCAATGAAAAAAGGCCCAGAAATAAATCAAAAAATATATAATAATACAGAGATTGTCTTGTTTTAAACACATGGCAACTAAAACATATCAAAGTATCGGACATTTTGACGACCTTCGGTGAGTAGCACTCGCTACCGAGTTCTGCACAGTTGAAAGCATTACAATGACTGATCCTGAATCTTAATTCTGACTGATTTCAAGGAGAAGGTGAACATGTGAACAAAGAGAGGTTACCTCCACCGCCTGTTTGAGGAGAGTCATCTGCAGATCCTGCTTTGCCAGAAGTTTCTGCAGGAAAACAAACAAAGTTAGTTTCCAGGTTCATCAGAGCAGCCAGTGCAGAACAATGCATCAATCAGTGCACATGAAGTGATACGATTCCTCCTGATACAGTGATGAGGAGGCAGGGCCTGCGTGAAAACAGCTCGACTCAGATTAGATTAGATGTGATTCAATTAGACTGCAAAGAGACAAACAGGCGTCCTCCTTTCATTATGTTACCGAGCGACATGTTTGTGTTTGAGTTCAGAAGTCAGATCGTTCCGTAAGAGATTATGAACAGCGTCTGAAACAAGATCAGAAACAATGACACATGTATTCCTGGATGGTCTAATATGCCCAGGTCGTCTCTCAATATGTAACAAAGTATCTGTGGTCAAGTGGGAAATGTTTAAATCCTCACACACAATAAGGCATGTTGGGAAACTGCAGCTTGTGATGGACAACTGACAGATGACCTGTGTTGTCAGAGGAGCCAGCACTTCAACATAGCATGTTTCCTTAATGTCTGATCATATAGTAAGCTCACTTTATCATTTCACTCACTACACATCTTACTGATTGCTCCTTTAAGCTCCACTGTATTAAAGTCATATCTTATCTTGTAGGTCAGGTTGTACTCACCAGGCGAGAGTCTCTGAGCAGACACTGAAGACATTTAGTGTAAAGACCGTTCACCGAGTCCTGAGAGGAGAGAAGACAAGAGGGAGGTCAGATCTGAAGAAAGGCACAAAGCTGAGTCCTGTTCAGACTGCCATTTCAGACTGCCGTTTTAAGCATTTATTTCCGCCTTTAGTCTGAATGTTGAATGTTGCAGAGGTGTATTGTGGGGACAAAGTGATCCCCCCTCTGTACCGTCTTCAGAGATAGTAACAGAGGCTTAAAAACCCCAAAATAAATCTTAAAACAAGAAGGAGGAGCAGAAGGGGAGGAAGGAGGGAAGACGACTTGTTGACAAGAAGACAAAAAAAGCAAAGGATGAGAAAGAGCAATGTGTCGTACTATGTGATGTCGGAGTCCTTTCCTCTCCTGCTCCTTGAAGGACAGACAGAAGCCGATGATGAACTTGTCCAGTTTCTGGGCGTGGCGGCCCAGAAACTCCCTGACGTCCTCCAGGCTCTTCAGGCAGTAGGGGGGCGGCGGGCTGAGCTCGGACGGGCTCGGGTTCACCTCCACGGGCCTGGAGATGCACAGGATGCTGTAGCTCTGCTCCTGGTCATTGTAGAAGGTTTCCTCGAACAGGATGGGGACCGACAACAGGGCTGGGAAGCCGGATCCCAGCAGGACCTGCCTGTCCTGGATCCTGACCTCCTGAAGTACAAAACATAAACCCCACAGCTGAACAGGTGCACAGAGTTTAGTCCTTCAGATTCACAGCAAATACCACCACTTATTAAGGGTTATCAACCAGATTGAACCCTTTATGCATGTTCATAAGATAAAAAACTCATGATACCGTCAGAAACTGCTGCCATGAGGTCGGGGGAAGATTTGTGAATGCTGCCTAAACAGCCTTTGTTTATATTTTTCATGATAAAGATTCACAAAGAGTGATATGTTTGACTTTAAAACAAGAATCTACACAAATTAAAACTTCCTTAAAGGGGCTTTAAATCATTCATTTGCTTTAATTACATAGCTGAAGATGCAAACAGCAAAGTCGAAGCCAAAGTATAAGAAAAAAAACTCTTGTAAGCCAAGGCAACATTTTGTCTTCTCTTCTCAGAAAAATACAAATGTGTTTGCAATGCTTTGTTGTCTCGTGTTATGCCAGAAGTTTTTTTTTCTGGGACTCAGAGTTTCCAGCTATGAAGCTGATGTGTTTATGAAGAGAAGCTCTTTGTGGGAGAAGACGAACCTTTCCATCTGCCGTCTGGTATCCGTCCTCCGCAGGCTGCAGCACATAGCTGTCAAAATGAGAGTCTGCGTAGCTGCTGACGTTCAGACTTCCACAACAAGGCACCAGAACCTGCAGAGACAGGGGACAAAAAGAGTTTAATGGAAAACTCTCTGCAGGGTCTACTTTGTTATTTGGGAAGCACTTTGTAACTTTGTTAGGGGGGTTAGGGTTGTTACAGGTTACTGTCCGGCTCAACTCGTTCCCTTTCTATTAATTTCCTTTTAGAGCCGAAGGCAGTCGTGCAGCCCATATTAGGATTTTAGTATGTGGATTTTACAGAATATGTGACCTTTAAATCTTTACATCAGGAAGTATGGTACTATCAGTCGTGCATGTGTACTGTCTTTTATGTTGTGTATTGTATAAGAGGTTTTCAGCCTGCTGTGTAATCAGTATCAGACGCTGTAATCCAGTAAGATGCATTTTTGCTGCTTTCTGCTGACGATTTGACAGATCTGCTGCTTATCTGCATTCAAACATTTGATCCTCGTCTGCTCATCTCTCAGGCGTCTTGAAGAGCTCAGACATGTTTTTATCCAGTCATTTAATACCTGTCGACTCTCTCAGATGATGCATTCTGTGGCAGGCTGGGCTTTTAGAGATTCATCTCACTGAGTGAGAAAACGTATCGATCTAATCGTGTTATAAAACGCTGACTTAAATTAGTAAAGAAATGCAAAGAAATGTTTTGTCTCCTTCAACAAGTGAACAGAAACTTGAAAGATGAATTTTGGAGGAAAGTGTGGGCTGAGGTGGTGCGAATACCACAAAAAGAAAATGTGTTTGTGTGACACCCTGACCTGCTTTGAAGTTAGGAAGTGGTTTAAAATGAAGCTCAACCCTAAAAATAAGAGAAAGACCTATACTAATAACGAGATGCTGTAGTCCTCCATTGTTGTTGCCGTGATTGAAGACAGAAGACAAGTGTGGCCAGGAAATCAGAGAAGCATTCAGTGACGTATTGACCTGGCTGTTTTGTGGCCTTGCCTGTGGAAAAGTAAACTGGTTCTCAGACAGTTTGCATGTTGAACCAGCCCTGAACCAGCCCCAGGTAAGAGCGTCACACACGTTCTAAACACTCAAAGGGGAGCTCAGGTGTGACTCACGATGCCGTGGAACTCTGCCACTCGGCTGCAGAGGTCGGGTCTCTGCTTCTCTAAGGCCACGTAGAATGGGTTCTTCAGGATGTTCTCATCATACACAGCCATAAGGAGCTGCAGGTCTGGATCCTGGAGAGAGAGAGGGAGAGATGATGGAAAGAAGTGATGAAACAAAACTTGACCCGATCAGAGGATGCACAGAATGTACTGAGAATATGAAAAAAAATAAAACAAATTTGAATGTTATAGAAGCAAACAGAATCCCAATCTTTGCATTATTATACGTCAGTGTTTTCCCCAGGTTTACAGTGTTGGGTGGGTGGGGACAAGCCGACATGCCGACATAAACACTTGAAGGAATCTTGGTGTTCATGTGTTACTTTTAATGACAGCTGTCCTTTTCTGTCAGAAAGGTATCCTTAAATTACTTCTTTCCTTGATTTATGACTCTATCCACTATCATATCCCTACAATAAAGGCACAAAAAGCCCAAAAATAAATCTTAAAAAAAAAAGAAAAAAAGAAGAAGAATTCTTTCTTTTTTTTTACTTGACCTTCAGGACCCCCCCCCCCCCCAATATAATGGTAGGGGAAACACTGTACGTTATTGCAGCCACACTGTGCAACATGGATCTCTGGTGTTGGGTACGACATCATGTACGCGCTGCGATGTTGAGGTACCACAACCTAGGCAAACCCTCATCCGCACACATTTATACCAAACCAAGCAGCAACCTCCAGAATAACGAAGCCTATGTGGAAGTGTAAAAATCCTGCAGTTCCTCAAGTGTCCACTAGAGGCTGGCTGCAGAAGCACAGAAAGTCACATACACACCCATTCTAAAAAGCCTGTTTTTACAGCAGAGATTAACATGTTTACAGCCTGGTTCAATAAAACAAATAGGTCTGATTAGCTCATGTCTCGATCGACACACACTGTACGGGGGGTGAATGTTTTGATGACTCATCAGTTTTGATTTGATGAAGAATAAGAGTTATTCACAATAAGGCGTGTAGCTGACCTGATTGACAGGTGGGCGCGGTGTAACGGTTTGTCAGGAGGTTTAAAACCCGCCTCAGCTCCAGCTCTCAGCCTTTCGTTAGGTTGACTGAAAGTTAGGCTGAGACAGCATTTCCAGCATGGAGACCGCCATTGATGGAACTCCAGCGCCCCCTGCAGGAACAGACGGGTGACGTCACTCAGGCTTCAAACATTCATATTCTGTTCATTGTAAATTCGAAGCTTGAGCTAAAGGAAACTGGACTTGGTTGACTTTAAGCTTTGAGTGTACAATGACCTGGATGACTGAGAGAACCGACACAGACATCTAATTTCATGGCGCACAATCCAAAAATTTACAGACTATTAAAGTCTGGTGGACCAGGGCTGAGCCTAATAGCACCAACACAAACATTTCTAACTATAAATAAACGGTAATAGATTAATTATGGCCAAATCTGCTTAGTTCAAATCAGAGTTATGTGCCTTGATATTTGACAGAAATTGACCCAATATAACCCATTATTCATGTTTTGTTGAGAAGAAAACAGAACTCAAAAACAAATGTCATGAGTCCTCCATGTTCTCAGATTAAGCCATTAAACAAACGTCCAACTACATGCCGAATAATATTCAAGTTAATTCTATAAACTACTTTGTTTGAATCATCAGATAAATAGATGCTAGGACACAACAAGACTCTTTCAGATTAAGAAAGGGCTATTTTGTTTTTCAAGGTTTTATTCCAGATCAGATTCCAGGGCAAAGAATTGTCTTCAGCCATTTTTTATGCACAAAGACTGAATGACCAGATGACTTAGAACATTGGTCTCCAACCTGGGGTCCAGGACCCCCTAGGGATGGCGTCAAAGATCACAGGGGCAACTGTCACCATTTGACAGCATTGTACAACTTTTCCAAGGAATAAAAGGTTGGGATTGGGAATCACTAGCTATTTTCAGAGTGTCATTCCGCAAAACCACCGTAACAAAGCTCTGCCGTCATTACCCCTGAAGATATTCATATTGATTCTGCAACGCGTGACATTAGGGTCTCAGTCTGTGAATTCACATTGTGTTATGGCGTTGCAGGAGTACAAGAGAGCACAGCACAGTGGGAGCTCCACATACACACACAGTCAGACTAGCACACACACATCGCTGAGCTCAGCCAATCCCATCTCGCCCTTGTAACTCCTCTGCTACCACCTCCAGAGTCAATCTCTTTGTCTCCAATGCCAAAACAAGAAACTTTAGTCTCTGTCTGTCATCCATTGAGCAGAAACGTCCTCCCAAGCCTTTCTTCTTACTGTTTTCTTTGCTGAGTCCTTCTTGTGATAAAACTCTTGGTTTATGCCTTGAGTAAAAGCGATAAGTCGGATATCTGATAGACAGATAAAAAACATGCAGGTATGAACAAAACTGGCCGGTCCACGTCTTAAAATCGTCACTATTTTTGGGTTCACAGAGAAAGAACATTTATATGCACATAACCATCTTAAACACTGACAGTAGTGCACTAAAGTGACAGCTCTCCTCTCCTCTGAGTCTTTACATCTCACACACTGTTTTCAGACTTTGCAGCTTCTTAAACAGCAGAGTAGCGATTCAATGAAAAAGTCCCCAGAGCCGGAGCGTAGTCAGATATTTACACTCTTCAACCAAGCTAAAACAAAATCAGCTCAGTAGTTTATCCATAATCCTGCTTACAAACAACAGCACCACACATGACTTTAATGGCACAGGTAAATTATTTCTGCTTATAGAGCACCATGAAAAAGATCTGAACTCTTATTATGTCCATTAAGCAGCTACAAACAGCTGCACAACTTCACTCTCCATTGATCAATTCCACCTTTCTGCTCCTCTGTCAGTCCACAATCCTAGACCAGAATCTATCCTCTGCAGGTTTAAAATCCTAAAACTCACCTCATCCCTCTGCTTTGTTACCAGCTTCATCCTCGCTCAGCTCGGGTGCAGACTGGGAACCAGTCCAGCAGAGCACAAACACACTCCTCCACCCGGGAGGCCTCCTGTCAGGCTGCTTAGCGGGGATGAAACTCAGGAATGAGTCAGCTGACCCTGGTGGTCCTCGTGACCTTACAAGCTTGATGCTAACAGGGTATTCAGCAAGGCGGAGGAATTTCCGCCTCCTCCGGCCCACCACGCTGTTAGTTCACTCACGTCACTCCAGGTGTAAAGAGTGTGTGAGCGGGAGAAAAACTTCAGCAGGCAGACAGAGCAAAGGTCAGATATGATCCCCTCGAGGTAGACTGAGACTATCAACAGTTTGATTTTTACTTATCCAAACGGACAGACAAACCCAGTGCTAGAGACACACCGATATAACATGTCAAACTCCTTTAATGAGAGTTTTTATCGGTTTTCCTCAGGTCGTTTTCGCCCAATCGTCTTGACTACGGTGTGGACGGAGTTCGTTTTCATCGGAGGGGGGGAACTCCCATGAAGTTTTAAATTCTGGTCACATGACAACCTTACTAGGAGGAGTATCATCTAATTGTTGTGATGAAGATTCATATTGATCATCATGGATTGACTTCTAATGGATGAGTTAGCGTGCAGTTTCATTCGTTACAGTTTGGCCAAGACAGAAATCTGTAGTGATGGACTCTGGATTTTATAATGTCGACTTACCTTCACCTGAAGAATATATCAAGAATCAGAGGACTTATGTCCCAGCAGGACCTGGACAAACCCCTCCATGCATTTATCTTCAGTCGACTCGATTACTGTAACAGTGTCTTTACAGGTCTGCCTAAAACATCAGACAGACACCTGCAGCTGATCCAGAACGCTGCTGCTAGACTTCTCACCAAGACCAAGAAAGTGGATCATATCAGACCAGTTCTGAGGTCTTTACTGGCTCCCAGTCTGTCAGAGAACAGATTTTAAAATACTGCTGCTGGTTTATAAAGTGCTGAATGGTTTAGGGCCAAAACACACAAGTGACCTTCTGTTTATGGGGCGGCTGTGGCTCAGTGGTAGAGTCAGTTGTTTCTCAACCCAAAGGACAGGGGTTCGATCCCCAGCTCCTGCGGCAACATGTCCAATGTGTCCTTGCGGGAAAGACACTTAACCCCAAGTTGCTCCCACTGCTTTAGCAGTGTATGAATGGGATTGCGTTTGCCTAGAGGATGAGTAAAGAAGTTGTGTTTTTTAACTAGGGCGGCTGTGGCTCAGTGGTAGAGTCACTCATCTCTTAACCGGAAGGTTGGGGGTTCGATCCCCAGCTACATGTCTGCGTATAAATGTGTATGAATGGATCAGTTTCTACTGTTTCTAAAAATGCAACGACACAGCGAGCATATGGAATCAAAGGAAACACTTCCTTCCTTTTTCTGGATCAATACAAATATTCAGGAGCTGAAAGAGCTAAAACCCACACAAAGAGGTTTCACAGCCTGAACGTGACCATCACATCGTTCTCCTCAGGGCTGAACACATGATGCAGGGTGAACACAAAAACTCTCACACACTCACACAGACACACACTTGTACCTCCAGACCTCTCCTCAGGACTGATTACACAAAGGAAACAAGAAACCAAGAAGTAAACAACCCACAGTTAACCTTTAAAGGGCAACATAAAAACCTATGAGGCTTTCAATCAAGCACAATGCAACACTTTAATCAATGAAACTTCTGATCTTTGAGACCAAACAAGCCCGTCAAGAAAACCTGATTTATGGTCAATTTAAGATAAAGATAAGATAAGATATACTTTGTTCATCCCAGCAGGGAAATTTAGGTGTTCCAGCAGCCAGCATACATACATACATACACACAAGACAATATATATATGCATACATATCCCACCCATACAAAAAACATGAGCCCACAATACATAGCCAGGATAAAAAAATGTGAAACTTGCCTCCAAAATGCAACTGGACGTGGTTGAAGAACCAGGTGCCTTTTTGCATTTTCTTTAGTAAAAAGTATTCTGCTCGAGCTTCATGCCACACTGAAAGATGTCATTGTGTATTTATTATTATGATACAAACCACGGAAGTGCATGCTGCATATAAAAGACACTGAACAAGCTTCCAGGTTTAATCTCTGCAGACTAAATACGCAGAGCAGCAGCTGTCTTTTGTAGCAAATATTCTTCTCATTCAAAAAACTGTCACTTTAGTGCTGCACTTGTTATAGACACAGGTACAATCAACAAGAGGACGTTTCATGAATCTTTAAGGTCTTCTTATTGATTCGTCCCACAAATGATTCTTCAAATTTAGAGGTAAAAAATAATACAATCTGATTCTACTTTAAAACATCTCAAGTCCTGTATTTATTAAACTGGAAGTAAAGGGGAAACAGATGTTTGTGTAGATCCAGATGTCTGATAGATATTTGAGGACCTGTTAAGTCTTTATCATGCCCTAAAAAAGTAAGGACATTAAATTAAATGTCACATTTTTTAAAAGGCGTTTGACTCAAAGGTTTTGGGGATTAGCTGTGTAGATGATGGTATGGCTTTAGCAGCTTTCTAACTCGCACATCACATGCTTCAGAAAAGATTTAGGGCTATTTTATTTTTGATAAATTAACTGCTAACGAACTCTAACTGTTTTATAAATTAGTTGTCCAGGTTTTGGACCCTCAGAGAAGAGGAGCGGAAGTTATTAAAATGAGCCTCGAAGCTACAAACAACACCCTCCTTTAAAGCAGCTAACAACAATAAAGGGAGCACCTGAGAGCTAACTAGCATTAGCCCTCAACGACTGTGAGGAAATAACCGATAGTGGGTTAACTCGTCAACCAGTTACCCCCACCATCAAAACCAGTACACAGAAGCGATGAGTGGTAACATTAGGGGCATTACCTGTTATCAGTGAGTGCCTCAGGTCATCCAGGCTTCGGGCATGGCAGTCTGAAACAGCCACAGCAGCCCGTCAGGAGCTGTTTACGGAGATCAGCTGGTTCAGCCTTTGGGTCTGGGTTGCCAGACATGTGAGGAAACACGTAAAACGATAAGCCTTCAAAGGAGCCGCCTTCAAGTGGGGTCCTTAAGAGTTTGTATCAAAAAAGAGAATAGGTTAGTAGAGAACTCTTACAAACTGGGAGAAATTAATATTGTTAACGAAATAAAAAACAATGAAACTGTCGTTCAGTCAGAAGTAATGACCTGCTTCTAAAATATATAGCCGACATCGACCCCCTATCGACCAGTCTGGTGTACTGCAATAGAGGGAGAGTCAGTTCAGTTATGATATTTACTATTATATTTATTTATCATAATTATCAAACTGTTATCCCATTGTATTACCTCATCATCATTTCATAATTTTGGAGTATTTAGTATGTATTTGTCAATCTTTTTTTTTTAACATTACTATATTAACATTTAATGTTTGTTATCATCTGCCTCATAGTAAAGACATTCCTGGTTTGAATCCCTGTGTGAAAGGAGCCCCTCTGTCCAAAAAAGTAGGACGGTACAGTTCCCTTATTTAGGTACCATTCCCAACTTTTGACGCTGGAAACGCCAATAAATGGGTACCATACCGAACTGAACTGAACCGGACCGCTTGGTGGAAACAGGGCTTTTGATTATCAGACATGGACCTCCTGGCGCTCCCGGCTCGAGCTCAAAGGTGGTCGTGCCTCTGAACTGGGGAACAGCCTCCCCCCTTCCACCAGGTCTGCCCCCTCTGTTGACTCTTTTAAGTCCCGCCTCAAATCATATCCTTATATGTTAGCGTTTTAGCCCTCTGGTCCTGAAGAGGCAGCTTCTCTCAGGTTTTCTTTGCTGCTTTCTTTGTTCCTGTTTGATAAGTACAACTAATCAAAAACATTTAAATTAAGTAAAAACAGCCAAACTCTTCTTAATGTAACTGAACTGAAAATATGAAAGTAGAACAGTGTGAATGCATTAACTAAAGTATCTCACACTTCAGTATTTCTTGCGGATATTCCAGTAAAATAAGGCCAAAGAATTACTTTTTGAGAGACCAAACAAAGCCGACACATTCAGATGAACTGAACAAATCCTTTATTGGATTTCACATTTTTGGGGTGGGGATATTACAGGTCAAAGAGTGAAACATAGGATGTGGCGTGAGACAAACAGATCCATCACAGCCTCCTCATCTGTGCACAAACAGTCTGAACACGACATAGGTCTTTAAACCCAATAACAGAAACATATATCAAATAGGTCTAGGATCCAAATCTAACCTCATTTACTCTTTATCTTTTGAGGTCAAAAATAATATCAACTTCTAAATGTTTTAATTGTTAAAGCTGCAGTAGGCAATATTATTTTTTCATCATTTAACTTGAAATAAGTCATTTTGATGATTGCGAAACCCTAACCATTTTAAATAAAACGTTCCTTTTCACAACACTGAATCAAACAAAACATCAGGGTTAGCCAGCACAAAACTTTGTAAACTCTTGTTAAAAAAAAACACATCAATAACATTACATATATTATTGTAGCCCCCTGGTGGTGGCTGTTTCCACCTTTAAAGGTCCAATCAGTGAGATGTGTAGTGAGTGAAATGATAAAGTGAGCTTACTATATGATCAGACATTAATGAAACATGCTATGTTGAAGTGCTGACTTCTCTGACAACAATGCAGCAGCCAGTATGTCCTCCTTCTAACTTTAGATTCTGGTCCTGAATGCTCTGGATTTGTTTGGACCAGAGACGGTAGGCGGTTTTACGCCCCTCGGTTTGTCAGATATGAGAGCAGTTATCAGGTCAAACCAACAGGTGTTGCAGCGATGGAAGCGGGTAAGAGAACTGGTTCAGATAGAAGTGATTGTACCCGACCTAAAAAGCCTCTGCATGTTTCTAATAAGCTCCACGAGCAGAAACGTGCTCAAACTAGGATCAATATTGGAGATGCTTTTGAAAAATGGAGAGAGGTTAGAACACAGAAAGGTTTACAGACCGATGCAGAGCTGGCTAAACACTGAAGCTTCAGTGTCCACCACATGGCGAGCTGCGTGAGCATCGACTCGAGAGAGGAGGGGGCGGGGGGAGACAGCTCTCTACAGTGTTTTGAGTTTGGACTGCAGTACCCATTTTAAACACTAGGTGTTAGAGCTACATATTGCTCCTTTAAGAAAACGCTAAAGACCCAGCTCTTTCATGAACACCTGCTCACTTAACTATATTTATGGGACTGACTATAATGATATTAATGATAGTGTTGATGTTGATAAGAATTCTCATAAGAAGCTGTCGACATTGCGATGACGATATATTGAAAAAAACCTGTGCTCTTCCGCTGGTCACTTCCTGTCCGATCAGACTTAAAGCTGTTTGTTTGCACTTCCTGACATTGTTTCCTCCTCTCTAAATCCTCGCTTGTGTTGTACTTACTCACTTTGCACCTAAGTGTCTGCCAAATGAATTGTACACAGTGACTGTTTTACCAAGTAAAGGCAGCTCTCATTGAGGGGCCCACATGAATTTAGTGATGATTAGTTAACAAATCAACATTTGAAAATAATAATACGTTTTCTTCCGCTTATCCCAGGTCGGATTGCAGTAGCAGCAAGCGCAGTACGTCAACCCAGACTTCCCTCTCCCCAGCAACGTTTTCCAGCTCCTCCTGAAAGATTCAGAGGCTTTTCTTCATCTTATTTAAAATTTAAACATTTTAACATTTGCGCTAAACAACTAAAGTAAGAGGGAGAGACGGGCTGCCTTACAAAGAAAGAACACATTAGTGATTTGTAATTTTCCCATCATTGTTCACTAATGATTGTTTTAAGTACTTAAAGGCTCGTCTCTTATAGACGCCTGTCCCAAACAAAGGCATGGTCACTTTATAGACTCATGTAAATAAAAGCCCTGGGTTATAAATTGAAGTTTTACAGTATGTAATCATGACTTTCATGTTATTGCTGTTAAAGATATTGTTACTAATATTTTTGGCATTGCAGACGTTATTCTGTATTATCTGTTGGTGGTTTTCTGTTCGGCTTTCTCTCCCTCTATCTCCCTTTCTCGGCCCGCTAATCAAGGCAGACGTCTGTTCAACATGAGTCTGGTTCTGCTCGATGTTTCTGCCTTTTAAGGGCACAGTCACACTGGCAAGCCGTACAGTGCCAAAGCACACTTCACCGCTAAAGTCCAGTTCGTTTGACCAGTGACCACTCTGTGCAGTGTTCAGGCACGGTACACTTCCTGGGCCCTGCTACGCTTCGGAGAGGTGTGCTTCAGCACGGTACACTTCATGCACGAGCACAAGCACGCGGGTACACAACGCTGACAGCCTTCATTCTGGAGAAATCCAGAGTGTTCTGTGTGTATCTGACTTACATGACTCAGAATAAGACACAAAGTCAGTAAAAGTAGCTGTCATGTTCTCTGTGTTGTTCTCCGATGTGCGAAAGGCAGACTTGACCACACGTCCCTTTTTAAAAAATAAATAATTTGAGTCCACCTGTCTTTTAAACAGAGCACGCTTCATGATCAAGTAAAGCCATACATGTGTTGTATTACGACGTTACGTACAAGAGCTAGCTGTGGGAGTGTCATCCACCTGGGGGAGGGGTTAACTGGGGGGTTTGTAGACAGACAGTTGTGTCGTATGTATAATATGTGACCTTTAAAGTAATTTAATGAAACAAAGTGCTGATGAACTGAGTCTCCAGACACCCACAGTGATGCAGTGTGTGTGTGTTTGTGTGCCTGTGTGTGTGTTGGAGGGGGACTGGAGCAAGGTGAGCAGAGCACCAGGTCACTTGATCTTGTAACCTGCTGCAACATGTTTTATAATAAACATTTAATTAACACTCTGTGTTTTATTGTGAATATTAAATTGAATATCCATAAAAAAAAGTCACACATAAAATGTTTGCTGTTGCTTTCAATCAAAGTTATTAAAGATAGAAAATCTGAATCGCAACAAATAGTAATCAGCAGGTCGGACCAGGAAAAAAAACTGGAATTAGTACATCTCTAGTGAACGAGATACCAAGTTAATTAAATGAAGAATGTTTGACATGTTCCACATAAATACGTCAGACATCAAGTCTATCCTGTATAAATGTGTCTCTGAGTCATGACTGTCTACAATGAGTGAGAAGCTCGAGTCCCGCTGTCTGTGTTGTTGTCAGAGTCGTGTTTACATGGACGGGACGGCCGGCTCCTCCCCTTGTGTATAAAAGCTGTTTTAGTCAAGAACTAGAGAGAAGTAGAAGAACATACTCACTGATTATTTGGATGTTAGTAAGAGTTTTTAGATCATGGTTATTCTGTGTCAATTTAGTGTGTTTAGCGTGTAAATGTTAGCGCTAAGAGCTAACTAAAGAGTGAGAGAAACAGAGAAACATTAGCATGCTAACACAACAATGCAGGACAGGTGATTGCAGCTTGAGCCGAGCTGGATGGAGGTGTGTCTCTGGAGGAGAGCGGAGGCTTCAGTATGGAGGAGGCGTGGCTAAACAGCAGTTTGTTTTGGTTTCATGCTGGAGCTCAAGGGTGACATCTCCTGGATCAAAAAGTCTCACATCTTTCCTTAAAGGCTTTATATGCCATTTTTTGATCCAACAGATGTCGCCCTTGAGCACCATAATGAAACCAAAAAAACTTGCGGTGCATTGTGGGTTAGCATGCTAATGCTAGCGATCTTTATTATGCTCGTATCTTCACACTGCATGTAAATTTACCCGAAATAAGCGTGATCTAGAAACACAGTTAAGCAGTGAGTACAGTATGTTATTCTTCTTTTCTCTAGTCTCTCAATTAAACAACTTATATATGTGAGGGGATGAGCCGGCCGGCCAGGCTGCTATATCAACATAGGTTAACTATGTCAACAAACAGAAAATATGACTCGGAAAACTTGGAAAACATCACAGACAGTGGGACTCAGGTGTTACACCCATTGTAGATAGTCATGACTCACAGAGTTATTTTCAGAGGATATACTTGATTTCTATTACATTTAAGTGTGAAAAATTACATATAAAGCCTTTAAAGGGTGGAATTGATGTCGGATGACACCAATACAGAATTGTTTCTGATTACCTAGCGT